AGTACAACTCATATTTCTTTGTTTGTTAAACAAAAAAATAAAAGTCAGTACAACTCAAAGAGCTTTGCTCAAGTATAGTTGTACTTCTTTGTACAACAAATATTCTCATCTTAGCTCAACTAAATATTTCTTTTAGTGTTGACAAAAAAATGTCAGTCAGTATAACAAGTAATTTATAAAAGTTGAGTGAACAAGAAAAAAATTGGGGAAATTCTGTACCAAGTTTTTTTTTGTTGTGCAAGCAATTTTTTTTTTTTTACGGTGTATTCATGCTAAATTGATTTAAAAGTGCACAGGATGTGTCAGGTTACAGGCTAAAACAGATACATGTTAACGGTAGCTAACAAGATCATTGAGAGATCCCACAGTGTCCAAAGCCTGGAGTTATGGAATTGTCTTCCTTACGGATGCCTCCAAGGATGACTGTCATCTTTCTCAGAGTGTATGTTAAAACGGTTATGTAGTGACGGTTAAGGGTGAGTGGACTGAGACTGAAGAAAACAAAAGTGCACAGTGATAATGAACAGTGACATGTCATTCTATGAGATATTTGATGTGAGCATTGCATATAATTAAAGTCCTAATCTTTAAAATACAAACCCCGTTTCCAGAAATGTTGGAACATTTTGTAAAATGCAGTAAAACAAGAATCTGTGATTTGTTAATTCTCTTGAATCTATTTTAACTGACAAAAGTATAAAGAAAAGATTTCCAGTGTTTTCACTGGCCAACTTATTTAAAATAAATTTAGAATTTGAGGCCTGTTTACCACTCGGTTACATCGCCTTTCCTTTTAATAACACTTTTTAATTGTTTGGGACATGAAGATGCTAATTTTTACAGTTTATAAGTGGAATTTTTGCCCATTCATGCTTAGAACTTATTGATTTCTGGCTCAACAGTCTGTGGTTGTTGTCTGATTCTGCTCTTCATGATGTGCCATACATGTTCAATAGGAGACTGATCTGGACTGCAGGCAGGCCTGTAAGGCACATACACATACTCTGTGTCTATAAAGCCATGCTGTTGGAGCACATGCAGAATGAGGCCTGGCATTGTCTTCCAGAGAATAGACGTTGTTTTGATGCATATGTCTCTTTAAAATCCCAATAAATGTGTCAGTGGTACCTTTCACACATATGCAGGTCATCCATGCCATGGGCACTGATGCCCCCCTACCATGACAGATGTTGCCATTTGTACCTTTCACTGACAGAAGTCTGGATGGTCCCTTTCATCTTTGGAATGGAGAATTTGAAATCGATCTTTCGCCAAAACAAGCTGAAATGTGGACTCATTAGACCATAGCACACATTTCTACTGTCTTTCAGACCGTCTGAGATGAGCCTGGGCCCAGAGAACTCGCCAATGTTTCTGCATAGAATTGATGTATGGCTTTCACCTTCGCGATAGAGTTTTAAAGTTGCATTTCTTGATGTAGCGGCGAACTGTTAACTCACAAAGGTTTTTCAAAGTCCTCCTGAAGTACTCCCTCCCTTCTCGTGCAGTGCCATCTGAGGGCTTGAAGATCACACACATTCAGCAGTGGTTTCCAGCCTTGCCCTACACGGACAAAGATTTCTCCAGATTCCCGTAAATCATGAAAGACCTAAATTCTTTGCAGTCTTGTGGTGAGCAATGTTCTTTTTGAACTGTTTGACAATTCTCTCATGAAAATCCTCTCTTTGCCTGGTAAGACTGAGCCTTTGGTGGACGCTCCTTTTATATCCAGTCATGATACAATCACCTGTTACCGTTTCACCAACTTATTGTGGAATGTTTCAAAATGGAGTAACTGGAATATTCTAGAAACTTTTCACTCTTGTTTTGCCCCGTTTCAGCTTTTTTTGAGTGTGTTTCAGGCATCAAATTCAAAATTTGTTTATGTTCACAAATACAATTAAGTTGGTCAGCCAAAACATTAAAAATAATTTCTTTGTACATTTGTCAGTTAAATAAAAGTTCAAGAAAATCACGGGTTCTTTTTTGTGTTGCGTTTTACAAAATATGCCAAATTTTTCAGGGTTTGTATTGTCAGCACACTTTCCAGCTTACTGTCATTGTTGAAAATGCCCTTAACAACTTTTTGTAGGCCCCTTTTAAGGACTGTAATAACTGTTGCAGTACTATGTTCTGTTATTGACCCTTGTGCTTTGTATTAGCCAATTAAAAGTCCTGATGCTAGAGGCATATTCAGTGTAGCTAAGTCCTGAGTGTAGTGTGGTTGCTTAGTCCTCAAGTTGCTGGTTTTGTTTTTAGCATGTGTAAATGAAATCAAGAAACATTTTTCACATGCAGTTCCAATCTGAATTTTTTAGTAAGTGCATCCTGGTACAGTCCAAACTACAGATGAATCAAGAACGATACAGGAGGTAATTAGTGCTGTAATTCACATTATTGTTTATGTTTTAGACAGACATTATAAATCTTTAAAACTGTAGAAATATTCACAGTAGCTATGATTTTGCCTCCATTTGGTGATTATTTTGAATGCTAGGTTGCTGGGTGGTGTCATGATTGTTAAAGTTCAACTGTCAAAATAAAGATTGAAAGTATGTGTTATTGTTGAGGTTTTATTGTTTTGAAAGAGCAATAGAGAATTGGTTGTTGTGTATTTATGTAAAATTAAAGTACACCATTCTTTTATCTGCTGAAGTAAAGGGTAATTGTGTAGAATGTTCATGTAATTAAGTATATTGACACCTGTATAAAAAATGGAATATAACAAAATGACCCAAAATTTATGGTATATAATTTTTAATAATGCCACATTTCTGTGAATATACTGAATGATAAAATAAAAACATTAACCATCGACTTCAATATTGGGTTAATTACATGTAATTTTGTATTGTATTTCTTATTTAACTAGTAGAATCCAAAGCTGTAACAGCGGTATCTTGTGGATAAACAGTATATTGTAATTGTTGGTAGGCAGATCAACCAACATTTAACTGTTATGCACTATAAATTTGTAGGATAAGAACATTTATTGACAGATTATGTCTGCTGAAAAATGTTTAACAGGATTGAAAAGACAGTAAAGTGACCGTTAATTTTAATTTAGATTAAATATATTAATTTAAAATAAGCAGAATTCTGTTCACTACAGTGTCACACTGACATCAGTTTGTGTTAACTTATTTGACTAAAGTTGGAGCGCTGCAGATCAACACTAAGCCTGAATGGTGCTATAATATCTGTTAGCGAATCAAATACAGGATCAAAAGCACAAACAAACAAACATAAACAAAGCTCAAGTTCTAGATCCATAATTTATTCTGAAGTTGATCTATGCTGGAGGTAACTGCAGCTGTTGGACAGAGACTTAAAATCAGTGTTTGAGACACATGAGGAGATCACAAACATGACAGTCAGTATTTATAATTCACTTCTTTTACAAGTACATTGGTTTCATGAAGTGTGAACAGGGCTATCAATTCACTAAAAGAGCCTTATGAATGTTAAATAATGCATATTTAGATCTTCATGTTACTGAATTGTGTATTAAATGATGGATTTTGTTTGATGTTCTTTTGCTACATCAATAAATGACAGTGCTGTGAAACTGAATTTACACAGCAGAGTGAAAATCTCTAATTAGGTTTGTTTTTCTACTACACGGTCAGATCTGGAGGAAATAAATAATAATTTATATGTAAATTATTCTGAGTTAATCTGAACTAAACAGAGTGGGTGGAATGTGATTTCTGTTGTGATGGTTTGTGATGTGCTGCTGTCGTTTCTGTTACAGAATAAAAGGAATTGATCAGAAACAAAAACAAAATACAAATAAATCTGAACTATTACAGACATAATTTACCTTGAATTTGATTTGTGTCTAACTGAGCTCCAGCTGTTGAATAGAGAATCAGAATCTGTGTGTGATGGAACTTAATGCAGCCTCTCAAACCTGAAATGTGCATTTTCTGATTTCGAAATTGAGATGAGAAAAACAAGGAAGCTAAGAAATCACACAAGAAAAAGATGTAAAAACTGGTTTCACTCAATATGGTGCAGAAAAATGTGTTTTATTTATGTGTCCGGACAACCCAAAAAAGTGGCAACAAGCAGTTTCACTGATTTAATTGTCTAAAATAAATACTTTTAGTTAAGAAAACAAAAGCAACATTTTGCACCAATTTATTTATTTGCCATTTATAACCTTAAGGTAATTTTGCTGCTTTTTTTCTTTTCTTTTCTCTTTTCAATTACAAAGTATTTACATGAGACACATGCCATATGTTGTTATTTTCAGGAGACCCTGGGCTACTCAGATATGTCATTATTATCATTATATGTAAAAGATAACAGAACTTTTATACCCTAATGAATTTAACTTTAACTTTGTATGTAAACAGGCCGTGTCAGGAGGTCATGTACAAAAAGCATCTACACAAAGGAGTGGGTTTAGTGAGGCATGAAGATAAGATGCTGAAGACACTACTTTTTTTAATGAATGCTTTTATAGATAGCAGGCTGAAAAATAAAGTGAAACTAAAGCTACTGCTCTATTCTGCATATGTCCGATATGAGATGCTACTGATGAACACAAAAAGGTTTGCAGGCATCATTTTGTACTGGCTGCATTTGAGGGATGTGTTTATGTGGGGAGATAAATCATCAGGCTCACTAAATGTGTAGACCTTTGATGACTTGCTATAAACGTGGATCTTCTGTTATTTCTGTCTTGAATGTGTAACTCTAGATCTGGCGTACATTTGTCGTTTGTATTTTCTTTCACCCAGCAAATACCGAATAGGTCTTGAAGGTGATTTTTTTGAAATTCCAATTTTTGCACTTATTTTTGTTTGAAGTACCTTACGTAAGTGCATTGTCTTTTATCTAATCTTCTCAGAAATATCTCCTAAAAAATGAATAACTTGTACGTAACAGCTGTCTCGAAAATAAATAAATGAAATGTTCTCTGACTTACACTGTACTGTGTGTATGTGAGTGTGAAGGTGGGTTTGTGTGCATTGATGTATGTATTTACTTACCTAGACAGACAGTGAAGTACAATAGCCACCACACAAAAGCTGCAATAAATAAATAAAAAAATATTGTTATTACTAAATAATAAATAATAATACTAATACTAAATAATCTTCTGGTTAATTAGTGCATTAGCAGTATCTTTTGTGCATTAGTATTTGCACAAACTACTGTGTATCTAAAATCTACAACACTTTTAAATGCTTTACATTTTTACTGAACAAAGAAAAAGACAAAATGTCAATGAGTGAGCTAAGTCTAACGAGCTCTGCATACTCCTTCATTAGCATATTTACAGATAGTAAAATCTGAAGAAAGCATTCTGTTGTCCCACAGACAGTCCCACTGTGAACATCATAAGAGCATATAATTGTGTTCTGTTCTGATGAGGTGAAAATGAAGTGTTGTTGCTTAGTTCTTTTGGTTTCAGCTTTCTATAGCTTCCTATTTGTTTCTGACCACTGTAAAAAGTTTATGACGTCCAGTAAATTGGACTTCAGCTTTAAAAGAGAACCTGGAGGAGCACTAAACTTTAAACAAACTTTTAGGTAAAGAAACATCATTTAAAACAGCATCATGACCATACTACTCCACAAACAAGCAACAATAAATCATACAAAGTTTTTTTAATCAGAAAATGCATGGAAGCAGCACAGCTGTTATCATCAAAAAGCCATTACTGCAGCCTTTTTTTGCAGATTTAAGATGAACATATTTGATGATAGTTAATTGGCACACAGAAAAAAAAACTACTTTTTGAGGCCATTTTAATGCAGGACAAGATATGGCTTTGTGAATAGGCTAAGCATTCAATTTGGAAGAAATGCATAAGAGAGCATTCTACCACGAATGCTAAATATACAAACGTGATGTAGCGCAACTCAAATCTGACCAAGGTAACTTCATACAGTGTGTTGCGGTACCTGTCTGATTTTAACTGATGAAGCCTTAAGTTGTCATTGTATGAAGTAGTTTGAGAATTTGCCCTATTGATTCATAGAAAAAAAAAAACAGAGAAATGAAAAGGGTTGGACACAAACATTCTGTAAATGGTCATGTCTGTCACACCTGTCACTCCTCAAATAAAGGCTGGGCCTAATCTGGGCATCAGTCCAGCTTATATTATTCTGAGCGTCCATTGTTTAACACGCTGGCTAAAAAAAATCAATTCCCCAGACACTAGACTGCTCCCTGGTTTGATGAGAGTTTGGATTCTTCAAGCATTATTAAGAAGCAGTTAAGAAGAACATTGATTTTCTGAATTCTTTATTGAATTCTAGAGGGCTGCCAGTGTAGTGCATAAACCATCATTACCACTATAAACATCAGTGCTGGTAATGCAAGAGATACAACACTGGAGGGGCAAATATGTATGAGGCATGCCCTGAATTTAACATTTGGTTTTCATAGTGGTTCTATTTTTGGTTATTGTTTGGTCATCATTGAGGCCCAGCTCATTACAAGCAATGGCCATTGAGGTTATTCCAAAGTCCATTAGAGGAGGTATTAGATTAAAGCAGTTACTTCAGAGGGAGACATTCTGGATTTTTACTCTTAAAGCTTCAGAGTGTCCTGGCCTGAATGATGATATTGATTTGTCTTTGATTTTTTTTCTTCCACAAACAGGTGGCAGAAGCTTGTGTATATATGGGTGTTCTTGGGTTGTTTCTATTGATATGCCATTTTTGGTGTCCCGATGAAGGCCTGAGAAGTCTTTAACGCATTGGCACATTTTTAAAATATTGCCATGTTTGAATAAAAGCTTTTTATACTTCTCTCAAGATGGTGTGCATGGGAATTTCTTTGCTCTGGGATTTGTTTTGCAGAAGCTTTGTGGATGCAAATGGATTTTTTGGATTTTGCCACTCCCAGCATGGTCATTTTGTGTATGGTCAAATTTGATCATGAAATGACAAATAAATTTCACAGAGTTTTGTTATTCATCAACTTCATGTCTGGCATATCTGTGAAATGTGTATGATAACCTGTGTGTGTAAATTTGACCGTAAAAACAACCTGAAAAAATGCTTGATTTGCAGTTAAATAACCAAAACAGTTAGCAATAATATCTATAATACCAAGAAAAACAATAGAAAATAACAATAATATTAATAATTGGTGCAAATGGCATTCCAGAACGAAAGTGGATGTTCATATACACTGGTGTAAACAAACACTGCAGTTATTCCATATCCCTTTAAAAGAAATGTGTTTTTTATACCACTGATGCTGCCTAAAAAATAAACAATACAAAACATCTCATACATTGCAATAAAGCAGAGTTTAAATATGTTATTTAAGGAAAATAATCGCACTACACAATCACATCATTCTACTGTTTTAAAAAAGACATTTTGTTCGGTCAGTAGGGGGAGCAGTGCTCTCACTGCTCCACTTCAAACTCCTCAAAAAAGCCTCACCCATTGGCTGCTGTCGCTCTGTTACGGAGGACTAGATTTGCCAAAATGAAAAATAAATAAATGAACTGATGAAAAAATAAATGAACTGATGAAAAAATAAATGAACACATGAATCAAAGAATAAAGCGAACAATTGTTTTTCACTGTTTTTCTTGCTGCAGTTGCCTTGGCGGAGCTACTGGCACAACCTAAGTTTATTGACTGTTGCTTCTTCTCCACAGAGATGGCCTCATCTCCAGCTAATTTGGGGAGAAGCAGAAACTCTTTTACAAAAGAAGCTCTTAAACCCTTAAATGCCCGGGGCCCACCGACAGGCCCAAAGTTTTACTACACACTTCTATAAGCTAAGAATAACTCAACTACTTTGCATTAGAGTCTGTGTAGTTACTGAATAATAAGCTTTAGTATGACATAAGACTGAGATTTTACGGGGTTATAAGCCGCGTTCCGATTCGCTCCTTATGTACTGAACAGGGCCGTAAGGATGAAAATGTTAGTGAGGTCTATTTTGCAGAAATGTGACCTACATCTTATAGTGATTAAATAACTGCCGAATATGAATATTACACAAATCATAAGCTCCTTTAGTGCTGTTAACCAAATCATTGCCTTTTTACCCATCAATAACTGTTATGCACCTTTTCCTTTAATTCACTTTTTTCCCCATCCCTACATTCTTCTATAAACTGCTATTACTGTTCCACAAACTGATTTGACTCTAGTTATCCTGTTTATTTAATTAATCAAATAACTATTTATTTATGTTTATTTTGAAAAACTATAATATTTTTTAGTATAATAGTTTCAAATTGACTTTATTTCATGTACGTTAGGAGTAGGTAAAAGTAGCACAGCCAACAACGGAGCCTGTAGCCTAAACTGAGCAGCTACTGGAGCCAGATTAAAGCATGCTGATTTAGCTAGCAGCATTACGAGCAGTCCAAGCAAAAAATGAAATACAGGGTTTATTGTTATGTTAAGTGTGCTAATAAACTCTTAGCTAGCTACATTTTTACCGCAGAGATGTCAAATGTCAGGGCTTACAGCATCTCGTACAGAGATGAACACAGTGGGAAGTAAAGTCTGTGGCCGAGCCACAGCTGTTCTGAGGTCAGCTGAGAATCATTGGGTAGTTTTGTCACTTTTTCCGCACTGAATCTCATAAAACCCTTCAGAAACTTCAGAGTACCTCGGTGTCCCAACGCAAGTTACGTACATTACAGCCGCTGCAAACGTACTGAAGTAATTGCGGATAGCAATCAAATTTCATTATCATGAAATAAATGCGGCATAATAAGTATTCTGTCCCCATCTGGGTAGGTCTGTGACACCATGGCTGCGGCCCTGCGCAGACTACCACGTTGTCATAAGGGCCCTGTTTCTACATCATGAACGGAGAAAAGTGAAAAAAAAATCCTGAAACTACCGAGGTCCGGACCTCGGTGTCCTCATAGCTGGTTACGGCCATGGTACTGAATAGTGAATGAGGTAACAAGTGAACTATTCTGAACCGGGTACTGGTGTCAAGACTCCAGTCTACTCTTTAGCCAAAATGCCAATCTCTACAAAGCTGTGGCTCACCAGGAACTGAGTTTGACACCCCTGTTCTTGGGTCCTTCTTGTGGTTGTGCAGGGCCAAGACGGAGAACCGCTGCATTATTGACCGTGTATTAAGAGGAAAAATAAAATATAAAGAGGTAAAAGTTAAAGTCTTCATCACAGACAATTCAATTGAAGTGCAGATTCTCAAAAAAAAACACCCAGCAATAACAAAAATAGATGTACATCAGGATTTACAGCAATTCAAACCTCAAAAACACTTAACATCAGCTTATTTCCTGCTCCAATGGCAATAAACCATGGTATGGACAAAAAGTTGCCTGCAGATGAGATTAGAGGAACACTATCGCAGTTGTCAAAAATGCAGCTCCTACATACTTAGTTTCTTTTGAGCAGTCTCTAAATCCTTGCAAAAACAAGACATTTAGTGGAAGCTCATCAATCACTAGTTTTGATGCTTTAAAATGTATCATTATATGGGAAATATTTCTACATGACTTCTCCGGCCTGAACCCAGACTCCAGTTTGACTCATTCAGGTCATGGTCAGATATTTTCAGTCTAAAGTTGTCTTACCTGACATCATCTCCGCTGTGATTCGCTCCTCTTTTGTGCAAGAACTCTTGAATATCCAGAGTCCTTTCACTGACAATATTCTTCTCCTTACGGTGTTCACACTAATCAAACCACACCCTGAACACAGTTATATGGATGCAATCTATCTGTCCCTCCCATTCACTGTACACAGAGAGAGAGGAAATAAACACCTGCTTACACTGTAAAATGTGAAACAGGTTGGAATGGCTTGAATTCATGTAGAATATCATTAATTCATTTGTCCATCTAAACTAAAATCTTGCTATGCATTGTTTTTTTTTAAAGTATTTATTATTAAATGAAATCAATTCAATTGCTTTTTACCACATAGAGTGAATTTTTAGGTTGAGCTGACAAACATATTTTACAATATACAATATTCAGTTTAATATATTTGTGACAAAACATGGGTAAAGTAAATGCCAAAATGGTGGAAACAATTGAGTAAATAAGTATTTATTTTAAAAAATTTATACATATAAAAATACTCTTTTTTTAGATTATTAGGGACAGAATTATGCAAATATTGATAAGGATCAGACTTTCTGAATAAAGGAAATGAAATGCAAAGCAGCTGGAAATTCAATATGTGCACTGAGAAGAACACATCTGCATTCATGAAGGCCTGCGGACATAAAAGCTTACATAAAAGAACCTGATAACCAGTCATTGTCACGCGTTCCTCTGGATCTGAGAACTACACTTCCCAGAACTCTCTTGGAGATCATGTGACTGCTGATCAGCCAACAACCACACTCACCTGAATACTAATCTGTTACACCTGTTTTGCTTGCCTCATGAGTCTAGTCAGTATATAAACCTGGGATTTTAGCTGAGCAAATTGTGAGGTATTGCTTTATTTCTTTGAGCTACTGAGTGGTCTATACTGTTTTTGCATTTTGTGTATCTGGACTGTGCTTGTGGACTTTTCTGACTCTGATTTTTGCCTTTGCCCTTTTGATCTTGGTTGCCTGACTGTGTTATGTTTTTCTTTGTGTCTTTTTGGATTGTTTTGGATCTGACCTGTGCATGTTTTTGACTACGAGCTTGGATCATGTTTCAAACACAAACAACATCTGCAAGCGACATTAACTGATAAATCTAAAATATAATTTTTAAAGAAATCAAAAAGATCTTTGAAAAAAATACAAAAAAACATATGTATTAATTTCACAGTACCACTGCACACCCCTGCAGCATCTATTGCATCCCAGATGTTATAGCATATTGTTTCCCTCACTTCATTATTGAGAACTGGTGCTGTTCCTGAACAAGAGTTATCAGCATCCACCAGCTCTGTGAGGGAAAAACACAAAACCTTAGAGAGACCTGCAGGTGCTGTGTTAATTACATTGAAGAGAATCACTGAAGTCTTGCAGAGATAATGAAGAAGGACTATTCACATCTTCATGGTTTTACTTAACCACCTTCACATATAAAAACCAAGAAAGAAGCTATGAAAACAAAATCCAGCTATGAAACTATATCATCTATATCAAACCATAAGCTAACAAACCACTGCAGCATCATTTATATCCCAATAATAATCACATACAGTTCTCCTCTGTTCATACAAGCACACACATAAGATGACATACGTCTAAGATGACGAGTATCTTTTGACTGTAAGTATCTTTGCATCAGGATATCAGCCTTGATATTGCTTTGTATCGAACTGAAAAGAAAATGAGTGTTATTGTCCATCACTAAGCTCTGATACAGTATTTGAGTACTTCTGTAACTGATCTCTTGGTAACACCTTGTGGCACGCTTTGGTAACTGCACAAAGGACTGCATTAGGCCAGTGTTTTGGTTCACTGGAAAGCAGCTACATGAAGATTTTGGATGCTCTGCTATACACATTATATAGCAATTGCTGGGGAAAAACCTGATAAATGTAAAAGACTGGACAAAATAATACAATGCAAAACCCCAGTTACGAATAAAATACAGCTTTCCAAGAGGAAAAGGAGGAATGGCTGGTTTTCTATCTCCACTTTTTATCAAACAATTCAAGTTGTTGTTCAGTGTAAAAGAGCACACTAAACAGTTCACGAGCTCTCTCAGCCATCAGCAGTCCCAAAGCTTAAAAGAATGTTAAACCATTAGTAAGTATGAAATTCCCTAATTTGTAGAAACCTCAAACAATTGCTTTGTAGCTGTGAATCGCTCCTGCACAGCACTTTCCTTTACTGTCTCAGTTAATATAAGGACCAATTAAACATTCAGATCCTAGATATTTACAAGGATAATGTTTTTTACATGTTTACATGCACTTAATAATCCGATAAATGCAAAAAATCAGACTTTGTCAGTAATCCGATCAATGTGTTTGCATGCACTTGAGTAATCAGATAATGTGAAAACCAGGTCTACATGATTCAGACAGTAATTGGATTTCTGTTTTGCAGCCTGCCAATAAACTCACAGAAGAAGACGTGACATAAACATAATGTAAACTAAAGGTTCATGCCGCGACTTATTTAAAAAAACATTGCACCACTTATGAAAATATGAACGTACGTCATCTAGAAGATGAAGAATATTTAAATGCTTCATTTTGTTGTGAATGTGTGAATGTGGTTTCAGTGTCGCTCCAAAAGTGTTTTGCTGCCATCTCGCGGCAATGCTGCTTGCTTATCTTCTGGTACAGCAGTCTGTTCCGCACATGTGCAGACTGAGAAATCTGAAAGAAATCAGAGTAAGAGTATACATGCACTGGGAAATCTGATTATTAAGTTAAAATCTAGCTCTCTTTATCAGATTTCTTAATCAGATTTCTAGATCGGAGTATGGTGTTTAGATGACCATTTGAATAATCAGATAACTGCAGAAATCCGATTATGATCGGATTATTGAGTGTATGTAAACACATCAGTGTTATGGTCCATTTTAACCCTAAGCATTAATTGAGATAGTAATAAGCTAAGTATACAAAATCATCATTTAAAGGGTATTTTCTATTGAAATTTTTTATTAAGTCTATTGAGTTTTTTTTTTTTGTAGTATTTAAGTAGTATTTTAAAAAGATCTTTCTGATTTCAAAGTGGACAAAATTGAATGTTCATTATTTGTTTTAATAAAATAAACATAATTAAGGTATAGGGTCACTCAAAGCAAAAGGATTTTAGTCTAAATACCAAGTGAGTTAAAAGTCTGAAATATCTTTTCAACAATGACTGAACTAATTTGGTAAAATTGCATTTTCAAAGAACTGAGATCAGGACTAATGTACAGAATTGCTTTGGCTTTGGCCACTCTTTTAATGATTTGCTCCTGCATGTCAGATCTTTGTCATGTTAATCCAGTGTCTTTTGAGTTTCAGATCTCAGAGGCTTTGACATTCTGCTGTACAGTTTCCTGATACAACTTGGAATGATTTGCATTCATTGGGTTGTGATTGAAAACCATCATATTTCAGCATATCAGACAAAATACTACATGCTCTATATATATATATATATATATATATATATATATATATACATACATACATGCATACATATATGTGCAAAGAACATATGTCTGCATGTGTGTATATATATATATATATATATATATACACATACATATATATACATACATGCATATATGTTTGGCCTCTATATACATATGTTTTTATGTCTGTCTATACTGTGTAAAATGTCTATGTGCAGTTGCCTTTGTTATTATGTATGTTTTGCACATCAGAGTTCAGCTGTGCACTCCTTGTTGTATAGTCTGAATGACATAAAGTTCACCTTGACTTTGACTTAATGTGTCACCTGTTTGTGCCCTGAAACCAAGAGTTACACATTCCTGCTCGTTTGTGGTGGTGTCTGAGTCAGTGATGGTATTTTATGTTAACATCACAGTGTAAAGCATGCACACAAACACATATGCATATACATGGGGGGTATTTCACAAAGCAGGCTTTCTCAGTAAACTGGATAACTTCAGCCAAAAGTTGAGGATTGTCTGTAGGGATGTTTCTTGGCTTGTCTACTTTTGGACAGGCTAAGTTATCAGGAACAAATCCATTTCAGTCTAAACAATCTAGTCCTTAATTTTACGACTTAATTTTAAGACAAATGTACTATGCTATCACACAACACTGCATCACCCTCTGGATCACTGTAGTGCAAAACAAAAATGAAATCTTGTCGGCCCCGAAAATCTTAACAATCTTAAAACAAATATGTTGCTTTACTTTACTGCACATAGAATCAGTATGACTATTCCATGATAATGTTGCATTTTTATGTACCCCAAGATATTTATAGGACATGAATTGTTAATGGAGGTTGATAAGAATCAGGTGAAAGACCCAAAATACCTTTTTTGGACTGACAATAAGAGGGTTCTTGGTTGCACTGATCTACCAGCCTATTAACACTTTGTTGAAATAAACTATTGCCACCATTAATTTGCCAAAAGAGCTAATAATGCAGAGTCACTGGGATATTTGAAAATAAATGATTTGGTTCCTGTTCCTACTGCAATACTGGCCAGTTGAGCAATCTTTAGAAGCATTTACACTTGTAGTTTGGTTTCTTTGGTCCGGACCAAAGCAGAAAATTCTACATTGGTTCTGGTTCACTAGGTGTTCACCCTGACATACTGAACATCAAACCAAAAGATGTAAACAAAAGTCATACGAATAAAAAGTCTGATTGGGCAGATTTTATGATGCACAACGACTGTGATAATGTTCACTGAAATTTCTAAATCTGTCCTTTGTTCTATCTGGGCTCTCTGGTTTTATTCATGTCTTGTTTTATCAGTTTTGTGACATTAGAGCGATAGGCCACAAGACTCCCTGAGTTTAACGTAGTGTTTTTGTACAAGGCGAAGCAGAATGAAATCCCTGTAGCAGCCTTGAGTGGCTTACTGCTTTACAAAACGGACAAACTTTGGTGCCTTAATACATAATATAATGTATGTGTGCAGTCACATGTGTATATGAAGTATTTTATGATGACATTATCCATGTCCTTGTTTTAAAACCCAAATTATCCGTTCTATAATGACCTATTCAGAGCTTATGAAGAGATGACACAACACATGCACCTGCAACAGCATCAGAAACTTGTCCTTTTCCACCAAAGTAATCACAGGGAGAGGTGATGAAGGTTCAATGTTTTTGGTCCACTTAGACAATTTTGGTCTATAATGTACGGAAGTCCTGAGAGACCATGAGGTGTTGCTATAATTTTCTGGATTGTTATCTTGAGTTAACAACTTGTAATCGTAAGACAACAACTTTGTTATCCTGAGATCACAAGATAATTAACTCGTTATCTCAAGAAAACAACTTTGTCATCTTAAGATCACAAGATAATTAAGTCATGATCTCAAGATAACAATCCAGAAAATTCTTACTAGGTCATGTCCTCTCCAGACTTCTGAAGTATTGTGTTCATACTGCAAACAAACCGCACCTGAGTTCATTATGAAGCGAATTAGGACAAAACTGCTCAGGGCGTCTCTGTCCGGTTATTTAGTGCACAGAGATTTATAGGGTGGCAATGTTCTCACGTGCTCTTACCGCACTAACAGAGCAATTGCTACAGGGATTCATTTTAATCAAACCAAACCTGCCAAGTCTGAACGCACCCTTTGTCCCTTTGTGACTGAGGCTCCTGCCATCCGTGCTGGAATAATGAACTCTCTTTCAAAAACACTTACACACCACAGAGCATGGCAGGCGGATGACTGCTTAATTGTATCATGTAGTACACCTGTCTGACAGCATCTGCACTCGTTATGCTTCTCTACTCCTTTTCTTAATGTGTCACCTGTTTGTATCCTGACACCAAGAGTTAAAAGTTCCTGCTCGTTTCTGGTGGTGTCTGATAGTCAGTGATGGTATTTTATGTTTTCCTGCTTGGGTTGATATCACAGTGTAATCTAATGGTTTAACAGGTGTTCTGATTCCAGATGCATCTGATGTTTTTCTGATGGGATCTAAAGGTGTCTTACAGGAAACTAAGGAAACCAGTGGTCTCTCATGGTAACCATTAATCCAATTCCTATTAGAAAGCAAAGCCCTCGGGTTTCAATCCTGGTTCTGATGGTCTTTCTTTGGCGGGGCATGTCTACCAGCATGCACACAAATACATATGCTTAAGTATAACAATTCTCAGTACACTGGATGACTTAGGCCAAAAGTTGAGGATTGTCAGTAGGAATGCTTCTTAGCTCGTCTACTATTGGACAGGCTAAGTTATCAGGCTAACCGAGAAATCCTGCCCCGCTTTCAACCGAGAAAGAAACAAAAACAGAACAGGAGTATACGAATACAGGCACACCATAGATGTGGCACTAGATCGATCTCTCTCTCTCTCTCTCTCTCTCTCTCTCTCTCTCTCTCTCTCTCTCTCTCTCTCTCTCTCTCTCTCTCTCTCTCTCTCTCTCTCTCTCTCTCTCTCTCTCTCCTCCCCCGCAGACGGCGCCTCCCATTCTTCTAAATTGCGAAGAAGAAGAGAGGCTGAGCGGCTGGGGGGATAACCGTCTGGGCGGCTCGGACATTTCGCTGGAGCATCCTGCTGAGGCTGAAAGGTGGACACTGCTGCCGGTTTCGTTGCTGCCTTTGGTGGAAAGAATGACAGCCAGACCGGGATTCTATCGGCAGGAGCTCAACAAGACCGTATGGGAGGTGCCCGAAAGATACCAGAATCTGACGCCGGTGGGCTCGGGGGCGTACGGCTCCGTCTGGTGAGTTCAGATTGTGGGGAGGGCGCGGCAGCTAAAAATCCACATCACCGGAACACGATTCACTTCCAGAAACCACCAGCTCAGTCCTGATTTCACAGGCGGAGTGGAGCTAACGTTACAGGCTACTGGCTCAGTGCGAGTCCCACCGCATTGTAGCGATAACGGTGTAGCGCCGGGCAGTACAAAGAGCTGAACTGTGATCAACGCTTCAGGCGTCTGTTCACTAAAACGTGCCTGCGTTAAACCGGATAATCATCCTAGTCTGAGACAAATGAACCTCAGTAATGTACATCAGCTCATCCCTGTCTGAAGCACGCTGGACCACGTTGGTTGACGTTTGTTGCAAAGTGGTCATCGACTCAGAGGTTCCTGCCTGGTCATCCAGTGACGTTGTGTCAGGCTTCTTCCAAGCTGTAGTTCAGATCTGATTTTTCTCCTAGAATCTGTCTAAATGTGTCCATTGGATTTTAATAAGTATGTATATTTGGCCATTTCAGAGAACTGGCTACTGAAGTAGGATAGAAAATGCGAGTTCAGCACATAGTCCAGTCTGTTAGTTGGACAGGGCTTTGCATGCAGCTTGTCAGGATGTGTAATTAGCCAGCATTAGAAATGCACAACTATAAGCCTCTACTAACTTCTGTGCTGCAGAATCTGCTGTGGTCAGTTAGGCCGTGCCAGTCCTGTTCAGTGATCATTGTCTTCCAGGTTCCTAAACAACAGAAGCTTTCACCCAACGCAGCTGCTAAAGGCATAGTGAACCTGTACCACACTGCCAGCCTGGCTTGGAGTAGCTGCGCCTGCCTCACCCATTTACTGCTCAGGTTGAAAGCACGTGCTGCAGTGTTTCTTCTGTGCTCAAGCATTTCATTACATCATTACCATTCAGCAGACATCTGCACCAAGAACACGCTCTTCTGCAGTGCACGCTCAGGTTCTTGCTTAAAAAAGTCCCCTAGCTTCCTGCAAAAGTCCAAGCTATACCATTAGACACCCCCCTGCTGTGACTCATATGGTTGCCATGGTGAGCTGCTGTGGTGATACAGCTTCCTGCATCACCCGTAGCCAGAGTCTGTGATAGAAATTTATTGGTAAATGTTACAGCCAGGGATCTCTGTGTAGCGTAACATTGCTCTCGAGACAAAAGCTTTGGCTGGTAGCTGGTTTCAGATGGTCTAACCTGGTCTTTGATGGTGTAGAGCAGTGGTCTCCAACCCTGGTCCTGGAGAGCTACCTTCCTTTGCCACACCTACTCCAGTTAATAAACCTTCCCCCAAGTCCCTGATTTACTGGTCCAGCCTTCACTGTGGAAGTGGTTGACAGGGTGGTTGACATCCAGCTCGACTGAATGAAAGCATACACTATTCTGGTCAACCACCTGGTTGATGGTTTAGCTGGTCTGCCAGTCGACTAGCTCATTCATGCTCATCAACTTGGTCATGCTGGTCAACTAATGTGGTCTTGCTGGTCATGCATGTAAACCAACATAGTCATGTTGGCCATGCTGGCAGATCAGCTAAACCATCAAACTCAAATAAAGTTTGTGCGCCCCTGGTCAAATGCCATGTGAAAATAAGTGAACACATCTTTCACAGAGAACACACTTCTGCACATGTTAATGCACAATTACTGTTTATTTGCTCAATTTAACCAACAAAAAATATCAACAAAAAATAAATCAAATATGAAATGTAGCCTGTGCAAAAGTTATGGCACATTTTATATTGGATGTTTTGTGTTTGTCCAGTATGTTGATCTGATGAATGAATGAAAGTTGTGCACTGAAGTTGGCAGCAAATGCCATAATAAAGCTTGTTATCTGAAAAGACCGTTTCATGTTTACTTACAAAATCAAGAAAACTTGTAATTTGACCAGGGGTGTTCAAAATTTGCATATGACTATATATTTTTAAGCATAAAATTGGAGTAAAGTCAAGCGAGTAAAGCCCCAACTGTATTTTGTATAACATTTTACAAATATTACATTTTAAAATATTACCTGAATTTAAAAAAAACACAGCAAAGTCAATGTATAAAGGCTAAACTGTCTTAATTTTTTTCATGTACATGTAAACACTTTATGATACTTTATGACACTCCAATGATTTGGCTGTTAACTCAGTTTACCTTTCAGAGTATCTTTAATAGTTAATGTACAGCAGTACTGGTGGAGATGGTGTCAGCAAGCCTTTTTCTGGCCTTGAATGCTTTAACATAACAACAATAACATTTTTGGGGCAGTTCTGAGTCATTGCTCATGTAATGTTCCACAGTGTTTTTATAATCCAGTACTGTCTGTAGCCGTTGAGTTCTCAGCACCACATAGAACAAGAAAGCATGATTCATGTGTTTTGTGGGATTACTTTTTTGGCAGTTTGCACAAAGCACACATCCTGATGCTGCAGCAGCGAGATGCTGTTGTTTGTTCTCTGTTTTTGTTCTCTTATGTTGTGATGTAGACCGATTCTCTCAGGGCAAATCAAAATAATGGCATTCGGATTAATAATTAATTTCGATTAACAATGTTTGGAAACTTTCTGGACTTGCTGAATAATCAAACAAAAATCTTACAGAGGATGATACTATGATGCTATTAAACATGGTTGTAGTGAATGAATGCAGTGATTGTGCTTCATGCTTGGCCGAAATGCAGTTAACTGGAGTTTACTTCTCTGCAAACTGAGGTAAAAAATGAATGAACCAAAAGTAGTAGATTCAACAGCCTAGCAAAACGCATTATGTAAAAGAGCTGTCAAAATTGTAGATGGTAAAGAGAAAACTATTCATTTTTACCCAAATTCTTCATGACAGTTTGCCAAATGAAAGACATTTTAACACTACATGTTTGGAACGCACTGTATGGCTTAACTTGACTCACCTACTCCAGCTTTTCTGGCACCTCCCAAGTTAATTGTCCAACAAAAGATTAGTGGAAAAAGCATTAGTGTCTCTTTCCTTTATGTGGGTCAGTATTTAGTGTTTTATTTAGGTCAGTATTTTGTGGCATATCTCTTCTTTTGGGTGACAGCTTGAAATTTCCTAGGCATTAGTTTACACAAGTGATGCTCAGCCAGGATTGTTAGATGTTCTCTTTTGGATGGCCAGAGCGTGGCAGGCTTTAAAAACTGCCTGTCTATTTACATCACTTTAGTACATTTTACATTTTTTATGCTTAATTTTGGATTTTTTCTCACTCTCTGTCTTTTTAATTTTAAAAGCTGTCTTTTTTATGAGAGTAATTCAACTCAGTAAAAAAGCTTAAGTCAGGTATGTTGGATGGTGGCTTTCCAGGAGTAGTATTGGAGGAAAAAGAGGGGTTTAGGTAAATGTTTTCTGGTTTGCTATTGTTCAATAGGACCCAAAGTGTTGATAAAGTATAATATAGCTCAAATGATGTGTTTTGTATGGAAGCCCTAAAGAGCCATAGATTCACATGTTTCTTTAGTCCATTTTTCAAGGTATTGTCAGGTTTTCTCGAGATCTTGTGTTATGTCACGATCACAGCAAAACAAATACTGTTTTCCCAAGATAACCTTTGTTATGTTGTGATAATGGCAGAAATATTAAGATCTTGGGGAAACATTATGTGAAGATAACTCCAGAAAACAAATGAAAATGACTTGTTATTACAGAAAAACAGTTAAAAAAAAAAAATGTGAATCCATGGCCCTTTAGAGCCTCTCTAGTTGAACATGGTAAATCATAATGTCAATAACACATTATAATATTAAGTGATTCTAAAAAAAGCAAATGATGATAGAGGAGTCCCAAACCTACTCTTGAGCACTGTATGGAGAACGTGAAATATCCTGCTCTATAAATCTGGTTGACTCCTTACTGGAATGAACTGACACCATTGCAGGAAATCAATGTGTGGGAGTGGAAATGTCTTATGTGAATTTCCCCTTTTAAGCATGTCCGGCTTCTTCTCTCTGTAAGTGATGTGCAAGTCAATCTAGGCTTCTTAGGCTGTACAAATCTATCTGCAGAGGCCTGCTCATTCAGCCTTTCTCCTGAAATCAGTGGTATTAATAGAGCGTTTCTCCCTCTTTGCAGCAGTAACAGCTGGGGATGGCTTTACACTAGATGTCGGAACATTGCTGTGAGAATTTGATTGCATTCAGTCACAAGAGCATTAGTGTAATCAGGTGCTGATGTTGGATGTTAAGCTTACAAACGCATCCTCCTCCATTTACCATGACACACAGGCCTGTATAATTTTGAAAAAATTTAAGACTGTCAAGCATGTTTAAAAGAGAAGTAAACTAGACAGCTACTTGTGATAATGTAAGACACTGCCAGCTTATATATCGTAGACTGTAGCTCTCTGCTGGATTAAAAACACAAGGCCGTTCTTTAGTGAAAGCTGGCTAGTTTAGTATGTCTAGCACAATTATTTACTTCGTTAAACTTAGAAAAAGCTTCTACATATGAAGATATGCACCTGTGTCTGTGTGACACCTCTGTATGTCTAACTAAGATCTCTCAGGTGTCCAGTTTTGGAGCACAGAGTCTGGTTTTGTGCTCTGTTGTTCGATGCCCGGTTGGTACTCCCATTAAAATGTCTGTTTGAATCACACTCTGAAAGCATTTGTTTCAATTCTGTCAATGCGCTTCTCTCTCAGCCCTCTGTCTAATGGCTGTAGTGATCTGTGTTAGAGAGATCAGAGATAATGAGGAAAAGGAAGTCTGATTATAGAAAAGGAAGTTTGATGAGAACCTTTTTTAAGTACCACTGGCAAAGTGTGAGTGTGAGGAGGAGTTTTAACACGTGGAGGATCAGTTACTGTTCCTAGTTAACTACTCAGTATCCTAATAGACTTGAATATACAAGGTGCTAAGCACACTTTAAAACATACAGTAGATGAGTGTACAATATATGCATATTGAATGTGTTACAGTTATTAAATCAGTCTCAGATATCGATTCTAGCTACATCAGTTATTATTTTCAGGCTCCTATGAGGGGAAAAAGCTTATGGTCAGAAATATATTGTTTTAATAAATACAGTGATGTTGAAGTGCATGTAATAACACCAAAGTTTCTATTGCTGAGGTTGATGAATAACGTTATGTTATGATGCTGCATTATATCTGAACATTTCTGGGGACAATTTGAAATGGCCAACATTGGAATATTTGGCATGCTGAATAAACATTTAACAACACATTTCTAATGTAAGACAAAACCTTATTGCTGGTAATTATAAAACATTTATGATGATGGTATGAGCAGTACGTCTCTTTGACTCGATCCCCTCTGTATTCTTCCATACCTCTTTTCATTTGGTCCTCTCTCCCTTCATTCTGTCCTCTCACCATAGATTTGTTTTCAGCCTTTTCCCTTTTTTGTCTTTTCTCTCTGTCTTTACCTCTGTCTGTTCTAGTTTAGATGCTATATCGCTAAAAAGTTCTACAATGTTAGATTTCTCTTGAATTAGCTCTATGTGCAACATGACTCTACACAGTATCTTATATAAAGCCTGTAGACCTAAAAATAATGATCTGGCCTTGCGCCGTGTGAATGTCTGCAGACATCACACAGAGGCATTAATAAGGTAGGTGAACAGTCTAATGTTGGTATTTATATACATGCATATTTAGGTCCTTGATTAAATATTCTGGTTTAAATACATAACTAACTGTTAGGGTAATGACCATCCTGGTCAAATGACATGTTTTGTTGATTTTCTAAGTGAAAATAAGTTAACACATCCTCTACAGAGAACACACTTCTATGTGGAATTTTTCAGCAAATATTTGTAAAAAAGTTCTATTTCTTTGAGGTTAATAATCTTGGAAAGAGATAAAACATGAAATGTGCCATAAATTTTGCACAGGCCACATTTTAAGTTTTATTTTCTTCTAATTTGTTAAACACAGCACAAAAATAGTTATTGTGCATTAAAATTTGCAGATGTGTGTTCTCTGTAGAGGATGTGTAACTTATTTTCACTTAGAAAACCAACAAAACATCTTATTTGACCAGGGGTGTTCAAATTTTTGCATATGACATGGATTTGAAACTTTACTTAGCATGTTTTGCGAAAGTGGGTCAGTATTAAAATCCACTTTGTTGAATATTATTGCAGTAATATTTTTTTATTTTTATTTGCCAACCAATTATCTTACTAAAAAGAGAGAACTTGTTTGTGTATGATTTCTCCTTTATATACAGCCTGCATTTAAAAAGTATTCTGTCAGTACACTAACCGTGTGCTTGGTGAAATCAGTCAGACTTCAAATTATGACCGCAATGTCAGGTCAGGTTTCTGACCAGCTCAGTAGCGGCTTTTACTGTTTCTCATTGTTATACCTGAGTGGTGACTCTTACTGAGTCCTTGTGCTGTTGTCTGCTGGGCTGTTGAGTATCTTCTCTTCTCTTCTCTTCTCTTCTCTTCTCTTCTCTTCTTCAGCTCAGCGTATGATGTGTGTCTCCGGCAGAAGGTAGCCGTTAAGAAGCTCTCTCGGCCGTTCCAGTCACTCATCCACAGCAGACGCTCCTATAGAGAACTGCGACTTCTCAAGCATATGAAGCATGAGAATGTGAGTTAGACACATACGCAATGTTTTCACTTTTAATATGCACCGTGACTGACCTCTCATCCTAGAGTCTGAAGGTTGTTCAAAGAAATAAACTTCTTTTATTGGATGCAGAATTTAAATTGAGAGAGGATAATGTTGGCAAAATACATCAGCCATTTATCGGACTTTGTAAAGGAATTCACAGGACTCACAGGAGCCCTTTATGTTGATTTATGGAGATTTATGTTTTCTTTGTGTATGTTTGTGTGTTTTTTAGGTTATTGGGTTGCTAGATGTTTTCACTCCTGCAGCATCTCTTGAAGAATTCAATGAGGTGTACGTATCTACAGTATAGGTCTCGGCTATCGTACGTCTATTTGTATTGGCTTCCAGCAGGAGATCTGGAAGGTGGAGCATGTTGTTGAACTGGCTTGAAGGGGAATTCCATCAAGTTTTCAAATTCTCTGCATAATTTAATAATTAAGATGTAAACACAGCCATTCAGAGTGGTTTGATGTGAGATGCTGCATTCTAGAGAAATGTGCAGAGTCAGAGTTTTTCAGTGTTGGTGATAGGAACCAGACGTCTGAAGAGTTTAATGCCTGTAAAGGCTCCCTCACAGAAAGCTATTATAAAAAAATGGTTAGGGGTACACTGGTGCTGCCTAAAGCATTGTTTTATTGTTATATGTTTTGTTCGAAAACCATGTTAATGCATTCATGGCAGAGAGGTACATATAGGGGGTTATGAGGCAAAATAGAAGATTTTTTTTTCTATTAACTACTGTTTCACTATTATGAAACTCAGGAGACATGTAGGTTCACTGCGACTCCAGGTTCCTATCACCACCACTGTAAAGGAAACTCTAGAAAAGGGGTTTTCTAGAATGGAGTTTTCCTTAGCAAATCACTCTAAATGTCTTAGTTTACATCTCTGTGATAGAATTATGTGAAGAAATTGTGAAGGATTTGTAGAATTCCCTTCTATTTAAATGTAAATCTGTCTCAGGTTTTACACCGGGATCTACTCAAACATTTTACCCAAATGTCAGCTTGTAGCCTTTTCTCATCCACCTCTTGTCTTTCCAGCTATCTCGTCACTAATCTGATGGGAGCAGACCTCAACAACATAGTCAAGTTCCAGCGCCTTTCAGACGAGCATGTGCAGTTCCTCATTTATCAGCTGCTCCGAGGTCTTAAGGTTATTCAAAAAATGGAATTTCACAGAGTCTCTAGAAAAAAGGAAATTTGTTTCTGGGCAGCTCTAGAATGCACTTCTGTTCTCTCACTGCATTTTGCCTTTGTCTCCTCTTTTCCCTCCTACATCCCCAATCTTATTCCTCTCTTTTTCCAAAACAGTATATTCATTCAGCCGGACTGATACACAGAGTGAGTTTCTCTTTTTTCTCTTGTTCTCTTTATTCACAGTTGACAACAAACATGTCTAAAACCACACTGGGGTGTCTGCAGGGTAGGGGTGGGAGATATTTTATCACAGTACTTAAAGATATTTTCATGATACACGATACAATATTTTGAAACAGACATGATGCACTAGTAGAGCCACATTGAAAACTGCTATAAAAACTAGGGCAGATACAGCGCTGCCCTAAATCCAATTGAAGAGGACTAATTAAGATCTGTTTGTAATGAAAGCATGGACAACATCCACAGTATGTTCGGAAGAGCATATTTTTTATCATGATAACATTTAACACAATAACGATAACATATTGTCATATTACCCAACTCTGCCATAGGATCTGATATACTAAATTCTTCGCCACATGTTTGGGCAAAACAGATAACTAGGCCTGATTACAGTTGTTTGAGATGATCACAGGTATTTAAATGGACCACAACTAATTTCTATTTGTTAGCTTTCAAAATAATATTGTATCACAACAAGCAGATTGTGAAATGGGTGTGTTTTCATCAGTGCACTTGAAATAAATAAATGCAAATAAAAGAAAGCAGAAACATTTAAACATTCAGACATGTCAGGGTCTTACATAAACAATCAAAGTTTTAACTTTAACTGGATCCTATAATATGTTTAGGGGGATGTTTGTTTATTTGTTAGATATGTAGTTAACGCTAATTTTATCATGCATACGTGCAGAGCAAAGCTTTTTCACTCACACTACAACCTACAAGTCTTTATGAGACTTTGTTCATTAGACTGTATTTACTAGGCTACAGTAAAGCATTATTATGTATGTATGAGTACATATTAGTAAAGATTTATAGTGTGCCTAAAGTGTAACACTTGTATTTGTATCTGAATTTACACAACAGCATGGTGTTAACATTAATAATTCGCTGTAATGCGTTTTAGACGCATCAACCTGAGCTTTTGCATGGTAATGAATGAGTGACAAACAAATCAATAATCATCAAGGATGTTGTCCAGTGGGAGAAAAGTGTAAATGGTATGTGTAATCGATTTTTAAGTATATAAATAAACACATGCTCCAAAACGAAAAATATGTAATATTTTTGTAAATTTTAGAGTTTAACATATTGTAAAAAAAAATAATAATACATCATAAAATGTGCCTTTTGAACAGGCCATGTTTTCAACAGTACCTGTGCAAAATGTGTTCTCTGTAGAGAATATTTTAAATTATTTTTCACTCAGAAAATCAACAAAATGTCTTTTGAACAGGGACACCTAAACTTTTGCATATGGCCGTATGACTGTGCTTTAATGCAGTTTTTTTCTTTTCCTATTTGTTTTATAGGACCTAAAGCCAAGTAATGTAGCTGTGAATGAAGATTGTGAGCTCAGGGTAAGGAATTTACCACACGGCTCATAATCTCATAATTCTCGTAAAATTCTTGTCCTGTGAAATTAAGTATGAATAAAATAGAAATGTAAATATAAAAGCATAACTGCCTTGAGCCGCTGGCAATGTAATTGGTCAGTTGATTGTATTGTTAGATTCTGGACTTTGGACTGGCCAGACAGACAGATGATGAGATGACAGGGTATGTGGCGACTCGCTGGTACAGAGCACCTGAAATTATGCTGAACTGGATGCACTACAATCAAACAGGTGAGAGAGCAACCAGTCCTGGTCTGTATTCTTAAAGCACTATTTAATAGCATTACAGATTATAAACTGTGAAATATAACAGGTGATGAGTAATAAAAAATTCTGCCTGTATTGTTGGTTATGCTCAGGCTAAAGAATTAGTCATCCTATCGGTTACAGTGTTACCATAACAGATTTAGCAATCTAAATGTTTTTTGAAAAGTTTGGAGATGCAAATTGTAGATGAGGCATGTAGTAAATAAAAATGAGTTAGCATGTGTCTAACTTTCCATTCTGTTCCAAACCTGTTTCAAATCACTGCTGCCATATGAAATTACTCATTGTTAGAAATGTGTATATGACAATGTATAATGTAAATAACTTTGTGATGGTTTGAATAAAATCTTACCTCCACTGGTTGATGCTGATTGATTGGTTTGGTCTTTTTTTCAGTGGATATCTGGTCTGTGGGGTGCATTATGGGTGAACTTCTCAAAGGGAAGGTCTTGTTTCCAGGCAACGACTGTATCCTTTATCTTCCTGGATTAGACACACATCTAAGTGTGGTTGACGAGTGAGCTGCTCCCTCTTCAAGGGAAGAGAGAAGAGTGCATTGTAAGTGGTTTAAATTAGATTACAGAGTCTAATGGCAGGAAGCAACATGAATATCAAATTACAAAGCAAATGTCAAATATAGCAAAGTTGATTCACTTTTTGACGTAATGCAGCAGAATACTCAATATCTGTAGACTTACTTCTCTTTTTGGGAAGTGGTGGTTTTGGGTTCTGCAGTGATGATTTGATTGCACTGTGGAATTGTGTGAAACCAAAACCAAAGACTAATCCCTGACTCATGGAAATATGCCATTCAAATTGGGTTGGTGCACACAAACACTGACAAAATTATATCTGTATTTATTACCTTACATTTCACAAAGCCCGGACCAGATTCTAAGTTTCTTTCCTGGGTTCATATAACATAAAATGTGTTGGTTAAAAATGTTTATTTTGTACTAGAACACTTCACTTTTAAAAAGTAATGATTTTTCATATTCATTTTCATTTAATACAAGCCTCTCCTGTGGTGTTAAAGAGTAATGGTTAGTTAAGATCTAGTCTTGATTTCAGGCATGACAAGAAACAGTGACATCTGGACATCCTGACATTTGGAAAAGGTACAACTAGCATTAAGAGTAAGAAAGGTGACAGCAGTAAGTGTGGCTCATTATGTTGCTGTTTGACTCACTATTTGAAATGTGTTCCCCTTCTTCAAAATGGAAAACATAATGTGGCTAGGTAGGACTGTTTTCCAGTGATGATGGTCTTTTAAGAGATGATAAACACTAAACCTGAGCTGTTGTGCTGCAAACATATGCATGTTTGTCCAACAGTACCCATATTATATCTATATATAGTCTATTTGGTCCTCTGTTAGAATGTAAGTGGGCAGCACCCTTCCAAATGTTGATGCCCCCAACCGTGGAAGCAGGTGCTTTGCTCTAAGCAAAGTATGAACACAGAGAGCCCTTTATCTAGCCAGCTCTCTTCAAATCTGTGTTGTAAAGATGCCACCACCTACATTTTCTTACCTGCATTTTTCTGGCGTTTTTTACATTTTTATTAGATTTTCTATTATTCAAAATTGATCTATTAGATAAAGAGTTATGCTAGTTTACTAGCTGGTGTAAGACTTTTAGATCAATTGATTTTTTTTTTATTGGTAGCTGATTGTAGCAGTTTAAAAGAAAACTGTTTAAGTGTATATACTCTTGCCCCAACACTATAGAACATATGTATGTATGTATATATATATATATATATATATATATATATATATATATATATATATATATATATATATATATATATATAACAGTGAGCCAATATTTTATGTTCACTTACAGATGAAGTTGATAATGTTGATTTTGTCATAACAACAGTGAATGTCAAAGTCTGGGATACAACTGGTTCTTGTAGTTAATGTGTTGATGCGGGAGAAACTAGCAGGCGTGAAGACCTGAGCCACTTTGACAAGGGCCATATTTTTATGGCCAGATGACTGAGTTAGAGCATCTCAGTATTGGCAGGGCTTTTGGGGTTCTGCCAGTCAGCAAGGGTGAGTACCTACCAAGGAGGGACAAACCACAAAAAGGTTTCAGGGTGTTGGGTGCCCAACTGATTAAGTCACAACACACAGTGCTGCACACCCATGGTAACCCCTGTCCACCGTCGAAAGTGCATATAATGAGCATGCAAGCATCGGAACTGGTCCTTGGAGAAATGGAAGAAGGTCGCCTGTTTCGATAAGTCCTGTTTCCTTTTACATCACATGGTCGGCCAGGTACGCCTGTGCCATTTACTTCGGGGTAGTGATGGCACCAGGATGCACTGTGGGAAAAAGAAAAACTAGTAGAGGGAGTGATACTCTGGGCAATGTTCAGCTGGAAAGCCCTGGGTCCAAGCCTTCATGTGGGCATCAGTTTGACTCATGCCACCTACCAAATCCACTGATCTACTTATACCAGCACCACACACTGACACAGCACTACCATGTCAGTGTCACTGCAGTGCTGAGAATGATCCGTCACCCAAATAACACCTGCTCTCAGGTGTTATGTACATATATATACATATGAACTGAAACTGTCATGATGTTCCATTTGGACTATACTTATATATGAAAAAGGTTTGCCTATTTTGTAGGGCTAATTTAAACCGTTGCTAAATACCCCTCCAACCTTACCACCACACCAGCAGAAACTGTGTATATATGTACTCTTTAACAATACTTCTTCAGATATAGATCAGCTCAAGAGAATCATGGAAGTAGTTGGCACTCCGACTCCTGACCTACTGAAGAAGATCTCTTCAGAGCATGTGAGACTGACTGACTGTGCTTGGATGGATTCAAAGCATTCTCGTGTTTGTGCATCCATAAGAATTTACTCCTCGTATATAATGACATCATTATTCGTTATTGCTCATTATTGTCTAGGTATTCTTCATAGGATTGGGTTGATGTGTGCATGGATCGCTTCCACACTTCTTAAACCATAGCAAACTCATAATTGTGGATAATTAAATCACATTTTTCACATTGTATGCATAGATTTATTTATTTTCTTGTCCAGGCTCAGAAATACATCCAGTCCCTTCCCTACATGCCCCAGCAGGATCTGGGGAAGATATTCAGAGGAGCCAATCCATTGGGTGAGACTTAATGGCTCCCTTACACATATAGTCACTTTCAGTGTAATAAGTTTTGTTGATTTTCTAAGTGAAAAGAATTTATCTACAGGGAACAGACTTAGATATTGTTGCACAGTTTCTATTTATTTATTAAATTTAACATGTTGGAAAAAAACAAACTTAAAATGTAAAATGTGGCATTACTTTTGTACACATTTCATGTTTTATTTAATTTTCCAATATGTTAAATTCAGTAAGTAAACAGTAATTGTGTATTAAAATGTGCAGAAGTGGGTTCTCCCACTTTTATCCCTTTAAAATCCCAGGCTCATTGCATACTAAGGCTTATAATTCAGTAACTACAGGGACTTAAGTGCAAACTGACTAAGGTATTCTTGGATTATATAAGTGTGTAAAAACTTTGGGCCTGCCATTGGGCCCTGGCCATTTAAGGAGTTAACTTAATTTAACTTAACAAACTCAACAAAACACGTCATTTAAATAGGGCCGTCCAAACGTTTTTGTAAAGGTTTCAAATCTAATACCCATATTGACTCAATATATGACAATTTCCTCTCCTCTATTCATTTCTATTCTAGTTTATTCTATTCATTAATAAGTACTGCAAGCTGGCACCTAATTTTATTTTAAAAAATGAGTGCTAAACTTTGTTTTCTGTCTCTCTCTCAGCGGTGGATCTGTTAAAGAGAATGCTGGTGTTGGACTGTGACCGGCGGATCTCTGCCAGTGATGCTCTGTGCCACCCGTATTTCTCCCAGTACCACGATCCTGACGATGAGCCAGAGGCACCACTGTATGACCAAACCCCAGAGAGCAAGGACCGCACCCTGGAAGAGTGGAAAGGTCAGAGAGAGAATGATTTTAATGTTGAATAAAATTAAGTATACATTCAGAAAATGCTTTACCTTGAGTGCATTTGCATGTTAGTAATATGATCATTATCTGATTTCAGCAGTGACCAGACTATTCCACTGGTCTTGTAAACAGTGTATTGAATTAAAGCTGTTATCAAATTTCAACAAGTTCAAAGATTTTAGATATTTTCTATTTTAATACTAACTGTCACATTAACACAACTAACATGTTTCTATTTTATATTACATTTGAAACTACATCTGCTCCAAGTTGTCACATTCACTTTCTGCAGCGGGATTAATGGCATGTTGCAAAGCAACAGTAGAGTTGCATACATCATATTTTAGAAAGAAACCTGATAATTATATGACTAGTTAGAGGAAAAATGTATTCAGACACTTTTGTTTTTGCTACTGAATGTATTTCCAGAGCATATATTCACTTTAGATTTACACACATAATGTTCTTTTGACCTTGTACTTAATTAAAAATAGATATCAACAAAAAGTATGTAGTCATAAGTCAAAGCAAAGATTTGTTTAAAAATGAAATTGATAGAGAAAAAAGTTTTCAGACATTACAAATGAATAACGTTAGTACTTTGTTGCAAAGCCATACAGCGGCAGTTATGCCTTCTGTCTACAGTAAGAAGTAATTAGCTTTGAATACTTTATTCCCTTTCAATTTTGTTTTTAAACATATCTTTATTCATGCTTATGAATACGTACTTTTTTGTATATACAGTGGTGTGAAAAAGTGTTTGCCCCCTTCCTGATTTCTTATTCTTTTGCAAGTTTGTCTCACTTAAATGTTTCAGATCACCAAACAAATTTAAATATTAGACAAAGATAACACAAGTAAACACAAAATGCAGTTAATAAATGAAGGTCTTTATTATTAAGGGAAAAAGAAATCCAAACCTACAGGGCCCTGTGTGAAAAAGTGATTGCCCCCCATTAAAACATAAAATTAACTGTGGTTTATCACTTCTTTGGAAAGCTAAGTTCAATTTCCCTAGCCACACCCAGGCCTGATTACTGCCACACCTGTTCTCAATCAAGAAATCACTTAAATAGCACCTGCCTGACAAAGTGAAGTAGACCAAAAAATCCTGAAAAGCTAGACATCACGCTGTGATCCAAAGAAATTCAGGAACAAATGAGAAACAAAGTAATTGAGATCTGTCAGTCTGGAAAAGGTTATAAAGCCATTTCTTAGGCTTTGGGACTCCAGGGTAATATTGCATTTTGGTCAATTGGCTTTACAGTTAGCAATGTAACGTGCCGTATTTTGTTACTTTCAGGAGACCCAAGGCTACTCAGATATATCATTATTTGACAGATAAATGCTAAGAGAAGTTTGAACTTTTTATGAATTTGGACATTTTTTTATAAAAAAAATTGGTGTCTTTTTTTTTACATGTACTGATTATCAAAAAAGTTACTATATAATTTAATAATATCAAATAATATCAAATAATTTTTGAGAAACTGTTAGACCAGAGTGTCTTTGACCTGCAAATGTAGAGTTTTGGTGCCCAAAATTAGATTTTTTCTCCTGTTGGGTCTATGCCGAGTGCTAAAACTCTAGTAGACAGCAAGGCAGCCCTTAATGTTTTCCTTAGAGCCAAAATACGTACTCTTGAAGTCATTTATATTTTGCGATTGAGTTGAATATTTAGTAACAGTTATTTGTAATGCTTGAAATCAAATGAAATTGAAAGATAAAGCTGAATATTATTATTCAATTATTTATTTATTTTTTTTATGTTTTTGTAAGTATTTGTTTCTGATGACTTTCACTTTGAAAATGTTGAATTGGAATGGACCATTTCTCACTGATTGGAACACAGCCAGATTACTTTGTACATGCAGATGCACTCAATGTCACATGATGCAATGAATCTTACATGGTTTTCAGTAGCTTGGCTCATGGGCTTGTCAGTGTTGAGGTAGGCACAATAATTCTTAGACTTAAATGCATAATGTTTTTTCACTGCTCTCTGCGTAAAGTAATTGTTCTTTTACCCTTCACTCCCTGTACTCTTTCCACAGAGCTGGTGTTTGAGGAAGTAAACAGTTTCAAAGCGCCTGTCAGCAAATCAGACAGCCTCCAGGCTGAACAGTAAAAGACACAATATTCATCCCTCCAACACTGAGTCTACTACCTATGAAAGTGTCTGTTAGTAGACTTAGCACTGAGGATCTAAGGACTTGATGGATGACTGTGAGCCAATCAGAACAATAATGATGCATTCCCTAGGCATGATGCCTTTCTTGAGTGTATAGGTGTGTGTGTGTGTGTGTGTGTGTGTGTGTGTGTGTGTATGTGCGAGTTTGTACCTGCTTGTTTTCCTGAATGCTGGAGAGTAGCATGTGTCTAGTTTGGAGAACACATTATAGACACATTGTATGCACAACCAGTATATTACTATTACAGGGAGCATGCTGTTGTGTATATTCATTGTACAATGTTTTTTTTTATTTTGAGGGAGATAAAAGGAAGATGCAACAGGATACGGGTGTCAATCAAAGCAAACAGGAGAGGGTCAGTCTAGAGTCACATGTTTACGGAATAGGAATGACTGGGACGTACAGCAGATGGACAAAGTAATGGAAACACCATACACAAGTAAATAGTGGATCAAAATATACAATTTACAGTATGTTTTGCTAAAAATAATACTAAAGGCAGTGTGAAATAAGATACATTACAAATTATGAAGGAGGACAAAAGACTGGAATGCCCAGCTTATGGTTAAAAACAGGTAAATGTTTTAATGGCATCTCATTGTCACATTTCAAAGGGTAATTCCACTGATTTTTCAAAGTTTCTGCATAGTTTAATTGTTGAGATGTAAATACTGTTTTGATGTGAAATGGTTCATTGTAGAGAAACTGACTTTTTTTACAGTGGTGGTGATAGGAACCAGGGGTTGCATTGTTTACAAAGCAGTTTTATTTACTATCGAAATGATCAGTGAACCTTCACATTGTCTTCTGAGCTGTATGTGTAATGTTGATGATGGTCAAATGCATTATACATCATAGCCTAAAAGCTGATCTCTAAATTATTGTAAAACAATGTCTCAGGTATTAGGCAGTGTATTTGTAACCAATTTATTTAACAGCTTTCTGTGAGGGAGCTTTTAGAGACATTAAAGTCTTCCGATGTCTGGTACTTATCACCACCAATGTGAATAATTCTGACTCAGTGAGTTTCTGTAGAACCACTCTGAATGACTTTGTTAATGATCTGGGCCCACCTTCTCAAAAGCATCGTAGTGTTAAGATCATGTAAACATCTTTGTTCTAATATACTGTCGGGGAAACCCAGCCCTAAATGATTGCATTATGGAGACATTTTGAAAAATCACTGGTATTCTTCTTTAAAGTGGCCTCAAGAAGGAGTAGCAGTGTCTGTATGTTGAAGCTCACTCAACAGTGATAGACATGTTGTCTATACAAAGACACTAGAATGTTTTTTAAAACCTGCTTGACTGTCTCAGTCAAAACTGTGCATCATTAGCTTAACAAAGTTGATATTCATGATGGGGAAACAACTTGTTAAACTACATGTAACCTCTTGTAACAATGTATGACATCACTCAGTTTGGTAACTTAAGACATAACATGGTGTAATGTTACTGTCTTCCAGCAATGGACACAAGTAATATGACAAGAGTTGTTTTTTTACTGTTTTTTTACATCCATAAACCATTTCTGCCTGCTCTTAACTGATAATGGATTGATTCTTCTTGAAGAATGGGTTGATTTGCTAATAGAAATTGTATTTATCACATATGATAGTAGTCCTCCAGGTTTGAGTCTCTGAAGACAGAATGATACCTTTTGCATTGTGTTAAAATTTCATGATGAATGTACCAAAAGAAACATTTTACATTAACTTCTATTACAAGTTAACCTTTTGTCCTTCTCCTGTAAAGTTGAAGGTACGAGTTTTTGTTCTGACAGTGACGGTATATTTCTCTGTGTTTCCATTATTTTGTCCACCTACTTCATTTCCATTTTTGAAAAGTTCACGTATATAATACATTCAGCATGTCTAAATATGAAATGTAGTATCTCAATATTCAAAACAATCAATCTTTTATTCATCATAATATCTCTTAGGTGCATTATAGAGATCTTACATACCTCAGACACTTTGTGTTCATTTAAACATGAATGATCTGACTTTGAAACTGACTTTGTTTTGTATCATGTGTTGTATGTTGTCGAAAGAAAATGTTCTTCCATTGATCAAATGAACAGGAGGTCAAAGGCCCCTGTTCAGAATGAAATACCACTGTTTTCTTGTTAATGACATTTGGATGAAACAGGATGCACAAATATCTATAGTTGGTTTACACTGCAGTAATCCAGGCTTAGTAACAACTAAAAACAGCCAATCATCTTAACCCAATTAGCATAAAAATGAAAGATTTGCTACCTTTAGTCAGTTTTGACATTACTTTTTTTAAACGATGGTAGAGCCGATACTGAAGAGGGAATTTTACACTCCAACTTCTTTTTAAATGTTGTAATTGTTTGTCCGGTGTTTCTATTCTCTACTGAATATGAAGAATGTTTTACCTCGAAAGGTATCTGATCTACACTGAATGTCTTTGATGTTTGTGAAGTACGTTTTATATTTCATGACTGGATTTATTATTTTTCTCTGGATTTAGGATCTGTTGGTTTCTGTAGTGCTATTTGTATTTTTATTGTTCATTATGTTCTTCACATTTTGACTGGATTTGTGCCCTGCGACTGTGGATTAAATAAGACCTTTAGCCATATCTGATACAAAGAATCACACTTCATTGACATTTACCTTGAACTATGCTTGATGAAAGAAGGGGGACACAGAGTAGATAAGTGTCGTGAAAAAGTATTTGCCACTCACCCAATTTCTTTGCTACATTTAAATGTTTCAGATCATCAAACTAATTTTAATCTAAGATAAAGACAACACAAGTAAACACAAAATGTAGCTTTTAAATGATCGTCCCATTCATTGAAGATATAGATTTATTCGAAACCCATATCATCCATGTGAAAACGTAGTTGCCCCTCTAAACCTATTAACTGGTTCTGCCACCCTTGGCAGTAATAACTGCAAAGAAATGTTTGCTTAAACTTGCGATGAGTCTTTTACATCACTGTGGAAGAATTTTAGCCCGCTCTCTGCAGAATTGTTTCAATTCGGCTACATTGGAGGGTTTTTAAGCATAAACTGTCCGTTTAAGGTCATGCCACAGCATCTCACTGGGATTCAGGTAAGGACTTTGACTCGGCCACTCCAAAACCTGCTGCATAACCCAACTGCGCTTGAGTTTTAAGTCTTGAACTGACAGGCAGACATTTCCTTCAAGATTTTCTGATAAAGAGCAGTTGTTCAGGTCCTGCAGAAGCAAACCAGCCCCAGACCATCACACTACTGCCACCATGTTTGACTGTTGGTATAATATTCTTATGGTGGAATGCAATGTTTACACCAGGTGTAATGGGACCCATATCTTTCAAAACGTCCCACCTTTGACTCATCAGTCCACAAAATTTGATCCCAAAAGTCTTGGGGGTCATCTACAAGTTTTTGGCAAATGAGAGACAAACCTTTGTGAAGCAAAGCAGTGGTTTGTGCCTTGCAACTCTCCCATGGATGCCATTTTTGCCCAGTGACTTTCTTATTGTGGAATCATGTTCTTTGATTGATTTTAACTGAGGCAAGTGAGGCCTGCAATTCTTTAGATAGTCATGTGGGTATTTTGTGACCTCTTGGATGAGTGTGTGCTCTTGATGTGCTCTTGGTGAAATTTTGGTAGGCTGGCCACTGCTGGAAAGGAAAAGATTCACTGCTGTTCCAGATTTTCTCCATTTGTGGATAGTGGCTCTCACAGTGGTTCGCTGGAGTTCCAGAGCCTCAGCAATGGCTTTGTAATCCCTCCTAGACTGGTAGATTCAAGTGATTTTGTTTTGCATCTGCATTTGAATCTCTTTAGAACATGGCATCGTGTGCTGGTTTTGAGACCTTCTAGTCTGCTTCACATTGCCAAACAGTTTCTGTTATGAACTGGTTGATTCAGTAGCTAAGGGGGCAATTACTTTTTGACATAGAGTCAAGTAGTTCTGAACAGCATTTTTCCTTCAACAGATAAAATTATTTAAAAACAGCATTTTGTGTTTACTTTGGTTATCTATGTCTAATATCAAAAGTAGTTTCATGATCTGAAGCAAAATTTAAAAAAATAGATTTTTTTTGCAAAAATAGGAGAAACTGGGAAGGGGCAAATACTTTCTCACAGCACTGTAGATATGTAGGTGTAGGATCTTTAAATGAATGTATCTTCAGAATATGTAGATGGCAGCAAACAGTGCTGGACATTTTCATTTCTATGTCATTCTTTTTGTTTTTGTTTTTTTTTTGTTTGTTTGTTTTGTTTCTTTTTGGTACCTCTTCCTCTTCGTCCCCACTTTTAACTGAGTAGTTTAGATTTACTACATGCATTGCCGAAAGCAACAGTAAAAGAAGTTGTGTTGATGAACCTAGTAGAGTTTAATTGAATTAATGTACCTCTAAAAGATTGTGTAGATCAGTAGCTGGAAAGAATATTGAGCTTTTGTTTATGTTTGATTATTTTCTTCTTTGATGCAGTCATGGTAACATTGCAACGGTTTTGATTTACAAAATGCAAAATGCAAGTCAAAAGCAACCAAAATGTATCTTTATTGACGCATTTCCCTCCTCTAGGTCTCTCAGCATGCCTTTAAAACAATTGTCCCCGAGGCGTTCCTTCAGGACAAGAGGAATTGCTTGCCTTTGTTACTGCTCCAGCCAGCCCTATTCACTTGTGTCCTATCCCACCCTCCCCCTCAGAAAAGTCAAGAGTTCTCTAGCGGCAGTAAAGTGAGTGGGTTAAGAATCTTCAACTAGATTAAATCAAGATCAAGAAAAAGGTGGTCTTTTAGACCACGGCTTGGACCTGCCTTGAGTAGGCGAGTTCTAGAGTAGTCAAATTAACTTCTTTCAATAAGTGAGGTGAAGTTTTACATCTTATTAGTTCTGGGAATGGCACCAACATACAGTCTAAACATAAATGTTCCTAAATGATTCTTGGCTTGGATGTATGGCTCAAGGAAAAAAAAAAACATTTAATTGGTATAGAACATCTGAATTACACTGAGGTCCTTTAAACTTCTTCTAAATGTGTTTTCCAACCTCTCGTTATCCCTTAAAATTGAACAGACTGTTTTTGTTTAGACTGATAAATGTAAATGAGCTTTGTTCTGATTGGCTGCCCTGTATTGTGCCTCATTCAAAACGCACTCAGAGCTGAAACACACCTTATATCTTCAGTGTGAATGGACGGGGCTAAACTGCCATAGACTGAATAGGTGGATATATGTAAGTGATTCGATTCTCCTGATATTATGGAAACAATGAATTCAAAAGAGACTGTTTTTGCAGCATAGGCCTCTCCATGTTTTCTGTATTTTACTGAGCGTTTCTGTAGAAGGCCAATATCTGTGTTGGAACATAAACAGACTGTGTGTGAGGTAAGCACGTGCTTTAAGGTCATTTAGAGCCTTAAAACTATGAGCAGAACTTATCCTGAAAGATACAGTTCTTCAAAAACAGGGGTGATACAAGCTCTATTTTTTTTGCTGATGCAATTTGTATGGGTTGTAGAGGATATGATTTTTTTCCATGAGTTCAATTAACGTCCTATTGCCTTTTCAAAAGTGATAAAGTGACTGTTATTGCTTTTTTTACTTCTGTAAAATGTTTTTAAATTTTAATTTTAAAAAATATTAAAATTAGCATTTAAATGATCATAAATACACTTCAAATATCTTTATTTACCTTTAATATGATGGTTTTAGGTTGCCCCACCTCACTGACATTGAACTTCTCTATGAAATATGTTCATTAAAATCTTACAGTAACACCATACTTACAATGTTATTTGGTTAAGTTCCAAGCAATGTAATGCTAAAAGAATGTTTTTTTCCATAATAATGTATTTAATTATCTTCTCATTTTATTTTCTCAGTTGACACACAAAAAAAAATGATTTGGCTGCCTGGCTAAAGTTTGATAATTCAACCCAAAATTATTGTTAGAAAAAGAATATATATTTATTTTTTAAATTTATGTAGACTACATGGTTATTAGTAGTTAGCATGCAACATGTGCACCCTGTCAAGTGAATCAGCTAATCAGCTAACCACTCCTGAATGCTAGGCTAAGTTTGTTTACTTGTTACTCTCAACCCTGTTAGCCATTTTCAGCATTCAGTTATTTTAAATGAAAATAAAATTAAAATGGCTTGAAATAAATATTTTAATGAAAATGTTGTTCAGCTTTCCTTTTACTCTATGCTGTATACTTTATATGGCTTTTTACTGCATTAATATCAACTAAACGGGGAATATGATCTCTACGTTCAACCGTGTTATGCAGTCATTTATGGTGAAAATAGCTTGTATATTGTCACATTTGACAGCTTGAGATTGGACAATAACATTTTCTGAAGGTTAAGCACTTACTTTTAAGTAATACTGATTAATACTTTGTTAAAAACAGCAAAGAAAATGTAATTTAAAAAAAAAAAAGATTTTCGGGGCATAAAATGAACTTACTGAAAGTGCCACACGTTTTCTTGGGAAGCTCAGTAAAGAGAGCATTACTGCCATCAACCTTGCTCCAAACACATGCATGAGGTAAGATAATGGAATAATAACCAAAATAATATTATAATCTTTATCACCTCATTATAACGTCTTATCTGAGAGTGTTTTGCAAGGGATGTGTTGGCATGCCTCACTGGGAGATTCCTCAGCACGTGAAGTCCAGAGGAAGTGAAACGCCCCCAATAGTCCCAACACCACCTCCCCCACCACCCTAAGTGATCAGTAAGGCAGTGTTTGGGTGTCTGGAGTGGAGAGAGTGGAGGACAAAAACGGACTGCATGACCTCATGATAGAGCACAAAGCTGGAGAAACGGACTTTATCACAGGTCAGAATGTCACTTCGCATCAGGGCAGGATTTTACCGCCAAGAGGTGAACAAAACAGTGTGGGATGTTCCGGAGAGGTACCGAGATCTGCTGCAGGTGGGCACAGGGGCGTACGGAACCGTCTGGTGAGTAAACCGCTGTTCCGTAAAGGAACCTAAGCACTAGCCTGCCTTTCAGTGAACATTTAGCTTTTTTAACAGAAACAGCTGACCTTTCCGTTTCCTCAAGAGACTCGCCAGCGCTGGTCTTAGCGTCATTACGCACAGAGCGCCTGGCTGACCGCAGCGCTGAAGCTCCAGCTGCTCTTCAGAAGTCGCTTCAACATGTTTTCAGTGCGCGTCTGTTCGGTTTTAGACCCGTTTGAGTTTCAGTTCCAGTTCCCCTTCGAAGTGTTCTGTGCGGGTTTTGTCTACATTTGCCGACCACTGTGTCAGTAACAAAGAGCCCCGTCGATGGCATTGTTTGTGTTTAACAAGCAGAAGCAGCTGAATTAAATGAAGACCCGTTTCAGAGTGAACTCTTTCTCAGCTCGCCTTTTTTTCCCTGCAAGTTCAGACTTGCCTTTTCTAATCATGTATTTGGGTTTTGGTGCGAACTTTTGTTAGTGGTCACTCCGACTGTCTGAATAAAGTCGTTAATCTCCCATTTAAAGGTCCTAACAGGCCAGTGAGCATCTGAATGGCTGTGTTAGTTTTGGGGGGGTTCGCCCCTCGAATGGCCTCTCTTTCTTTAAAACAGTGGCTGACTAAGAGTTAGTCTTCCTACATATGAACATTCATAAAGGTGTGAAAAATAAAGGGTCTTAAATGAGTCTCAGCCAGGCTGTGTGGATGTAGGAGAAACTGAATTGGTATTGGACCTTTACATCATGTGGAGGGTCTTCACACTTTAGAAAGGTTCTTCACACTCACACATCTCATTACAAAAGTGCTTCAGTAACGCTTTACTGAGGGCCAATAAGGCTACATGACTCCTACGGTCATGCCTTCACTCACTAACCACAGACATAAAGGTTAATAGAGACTTACTCCAACAAACAGCAGTTGTCATAAACACTTATGGGAGTACACCTTTATGAATGCCTGTGTAGGTTTATGTCAGTTGTCATGAAAGGTGCTGTGTAACCTTATGAACATCACCCACAGTAAAGTGTTAGCAACGATTCTTTGATGAGTTCTTTTTTAATGAGTTTGTAAATTAGTCTATAGATTAGAGTTCATTTTAATAGTTTATGGAGTTTATTTTTAAGAGTTTATAGAATAAGTTATAGTTTATAGATCTGGTTGTTGTTAGTATTAATGAAGTAGGATGTTGAGTGTCCTGTGCATTGCCTGCTTAATAGAAGCATCATCTAACATCAGTCGTTGCTATATTTTCTTAATGAATGGCCATGGTCATCCAAGAGATATGTTGTATATTTGGCCACTCCTGGTTTATCCTCTGCTTTTCTTCACAGTTCTGCCATTGACCGGAAGACAGGTGTGCGGGTGGCTATCAAGAAACTCCATCGTCCATTCCAGTCCAGACTCTTCGCCAAGCGAGCTTACAGAGAACTGAGACTGCTCAAACACATGAAGCACGAGAACGTAAGTTAACAGCACTCAGTGTTTGCTCAGCTTTACTCAGCAAGGAATCTCACATCATAGCTTTCAGTGACCAAACGCTTATTGGCTGAAACAGGTGATTGGGCTGTTGGATGTCTTCACTTCCGAAATATCACTGGACAGGTTCCAGGATTTGTGAGTTGCTTTTTCCTCATTTAGTAATCATGCAGGCAGTGTTGCTAATCTACTGCCGCTTTCTGAGCTCCCTCTTTTTCCTCTTTCTGGCAGTTACTTGGTGATGCCATTCATGGGTACTGACCTTGGGAAGCTGATGAAAATGGAAAGATTGTCTGAAGACAGGGTGCAGTTTCTGGTGTATCAAATGCTGAGGGGGCTAAAGGTTAGATGCACACTAATTTGAATGCACTCCAGCAACTTTTATGAAGGTAGATTAAGGAATGTGCCTCTGTGGAATTTCCTTTCACAATTTCAGTCTTCATGCTAACTCTCTGCCTTTTCTCCTCCGCAGTATATTCATTCTGCTGGGATCATTCACCGAGTATGTGACCCCTGACATGTTAATTATATGCGTGGGGGGCTGGGCAGTAGGATGGCCACTCCATTCAACACCCACACCCATTCATCCTCTCTCCACAGCTCTTCTCTCTTTTAAAATAGTCTTCAGCTCTTATATTTGTTTGAACAAAAATGTTTAAAGAGAATTAAAATTTCTGTGCATGTAGTGATTGAGACACTCAACAGTACATGATTTTGTGTGTGGGTGAAAAAGCATGAGTTCATATGTGTCACTGCAAGATGTCTTCTTTGGTTGCTCTTCAACAGGATCTAAAACCAGGAAACCTGGCTGTCAACCAGAACTGTGAGCTGAAGGTACTCATATAAGATATTCTTATTATACCCATAATCTTCACAAAATGGAAATCAAAAAGCAGATTAAATATATCTAAAGTACTTTTTTCTACACACTTCAGTTTTAAGCACCCACTTCAGAAGGATATCTTCAGATCTTTAATGACATCAAAATATACTAGTAGCTGCAAGCAGATTAGATGATTACATTCAGTATTTAGTTCCTTCTGTTGCCTTCGACTAAAATGTGTAAACACTACAGTTTTAAAGCTTGGAATTGATGCAATCCAGAATCTACGAATCTGCTGTGAAAAAAAGGGAAGAACCTGACAATATGCAACAAAAAATTACTATAAATAAATAATCTGTGCGATTAGGTGATCTGAAAACACAAGACACATAAATTTTTTTTGGTGACTTGTAAGTAATATTTAAATCTATATTATTCTATATTATTGTTAGAGGTGGGCAGTATGGCAAAAATATAATATCGTAATACTTTCAGAAATTTTTACAGTGTCACGCTATTTATTTTTTCAGACATCTGATCAGTTAGAACAGAGAAAAAACAGTGTTAAATTTGAAAAATATATATAGACATTGCATTTTAATCAAAAACTGTGAACACAATAACGTGTATTCAGTATTTGGATACTGTGTTGCACTAAATACAGTTAAATGAGACAATTTTGCTCTTTACAAGTACTGATTATATCCACCATATGTTCAGAAAAACGCATGGTATTGTGACATAATTTATCAAAATAATGATATATCATTACCATATTACCCAGCCCTAGTTATTAAAATGACTTTGAATGGTAACGTCTGTGGTTCGATGAAAAGGATCTGGGATTCCTGTCACTGTAGCTCAGTTCCAAATGGTGCCTTAACCCCTGCTGTCCTCCTCAAAGTCCACACTTTGGTGACATCAACAACGTACAGACCTAGAGGACAAGAAAACTCGAGGGCTCTAGGTTTAAAGCATGCACTTGGGGCAGACTCATGCACAACGCAGGCTTTACATGTGCCACCCTCAGAGTGTCAATCATACTCTTTGTTCTAAATGAGCTAATGTGCTGATCAACAGTATCTTAATTAGGATTACAAGCATATAGCAGCTCAGTGACAAATAAGCAAATGCATTTTTACTCACATCTGAATATATTCTTTTCTGCCATGTTGGCCAGACAGCTGTAAGCTCCTCACCTCACTCACAGAGGGCACTTTTATAAACCCCTTTGTACAGCAAACTGAGAAATGGGAGACCCTACAGCCTCGTGGTCCTTGGGTACATGCACAAATGAGGACTGCAGGACCACAAGCGAACTGTTTGGGACTTGTGCTTGCCTCTCATATATGAACATGTGAAGACTGATTTCTAGTATAGTGAGGCTGCTACTCTTATGAAGATGTTCACTGCTGTTTTGCCTCAGCATAAATAAACTCTTTTACACCCGAACCCTGTGGCATTACTGAGTTTTGATATTGAGGTTAGTGTTGTGCTGTGTGCAGATTCTGGATTTTGGGCTGGCCAGGCAGGCGGACTCAGAGATGACAGGTTATGTGGTGACTCGGTGGTACAGAGCACCTGAGGTCATTCTTAACTGGATGCGCTACTCACAAACAGGTGACACACACACTCACATAAATAATAATGTTATAGTATATTGCTATGACTCAAGAGGTTCTCTTGGATTTTCAGCCTGATTGCTATGTGCTGCCTCAGTATTGTACCACTGAATAATCATCTCTACACATTTCCTAGTAGTGTGAAAAGAACAGAAAACCTGTTCATTCGAAACTCATTCATAAAAGACGTAAGTGGATACCGGACTGTACTATACACTACTGTTGAAAAAAATTACTTGTTAAATTAATAATGCTTGTTAATTTACAATAATAACATAATGAGAAAAACCTTTCTGAAAGTATATTTTTACTGTACATTTTACTGGCATCTTTAAACACAGTGTAGAAAACGTTTTGTAGCACTTTCACTGTTAGAATTGGTAGTCCAATGGGCTAGTACAGATACAGTATAGGAGGATTTTATAATGTCTCTGAGCAAGCCTAGGTTTCAGGTTTTGTGTGCACAAAGGGTTAAAAGTGACAGAGGTGGATGGAGGATATTCTGGTTAGTGTCCTCAAAAATTGTCAGAACGTAGGCTGCAGTGTGGGCTGCTGTATGTGAAGGATCCTTCTGATTGGAACAGCAGTTCGGTCTGGAAATGCAGCCCACCTGGACTGCAGCCTGACTTTTGGAACACAGCTATAGACTTATCTTAAGGACACAACCTATTGCCCCAAAAGTCTTAAAAATAATGATAACATAATTGTATGTTGTACAATACGTTGTATACTTAATATCAAAGATTAATTTTATTTCAGTTTTTAACCACAAGGAGTCACTATCACAATTATTATCAGTATTAAATCTGTGTTTGTGTTCTTGTTACATACTGAACCCCATTCTGTCTTTTAGTTGACATCTGGTCAGTTGGTTGCATTATGGCAGAGATGCTTCTTGGGAGGCCGCTCTTCAAAGGAAATGATCGTATCCTTTGCGTAGCCTGATACACCAGCCAATGAAATCCAGCCTTGCATAGGCTTGCAGTGTTATTATTGTCTCTTTCTAAATAATTCCTGCAAAACAAAACAAAAGATGCATGAACACTTATTACTACTATAGTGCATCCATGAACTAAAAGTCCTGGTTCGCCATCTTGCTTGGTTCATTTTTTAGTGTAGTCTGTGTTCTTTGGTTCTGTGCAGTTTATTCTTTGACCCTGAGCTCTAGATCTGGACCAGCTGAGAGAAATCATGAAAATCACAGGAACGCCAGCACCGGACTTCATCATAAAGCTACAGAGTCAGGATGTAAGTGGTGGGGAGACACATTCATAGCATATATACACTGAGTAGACATTTAATCAAGTATACAATTCATATAGGAATACAGGTGTACAATTGCAGGTTTACAGGTACTGACTGCAATCTATCTATTTATATAAGCCCATAATATGTTAGATCCACTCTACCCCATCCATTAGATGAAAGGGACCACCATATGGCTACTACTAACCAGATGTTATTTGGGTGGTGGACCATTGGTAGCACAGCAGGAGTAATGACTCCTGGATTTCTTTTAAGGTGGGGCCATAATGCAGCCACAATTCCTGTTCAGGGGACAAATACATGCCTTCATATTCAGAGTTCACCATAATTCATATGGTGGTCATTTTCCAAAAATGAATGGTGCAGAGTAGGGGATAAACTGTTGCAGCAACAGTTGTCTACAGTCAGTAATTGTAACCTTGTAAAGATTACCTACATATGGTGTAACTGATAAAATGGCCAGTGAGTGAGATACTAGGTAGGTGTACTTGATAAACTGACATCTCAGTGTAATATATGGCGATAGTTCTCACATTTATCTCTTGTGTCATTAGGCAAAGAATTACATTAGAAGTCTGCCCAAAGTGCCAAAGAAAGACTTGCACACCATTTTCTTTAAAGCCAGCTCAGATGGTAAGTACAACACATCTTTGCTATTTGATAACTTCATCTATCTATCTATCTATCTATCTATCTATCTATCTATCTATCTATCTATCTGTCTGTCTATCTATATATATCTATATATCTGTATATCTGTCAGTGGTAAGTGCCATGGAGCGGATGCTGGTGTTGGACCCTGACGGGCGTGTGAGTGCTGCTGAGGCTCTGGAGCTCCCGATGTTCTCAGAGTTCAGAGAGCCAGAGGAGGAGACAGAGGCACTACCCTATGACCACTCCATGGACAACACAGACCTGCCTCTGGAGCAGTGGAAACGTAAGGCGCGGGGAGGGGGTGGGGGGAGAAATGAAGGAAGCAAAAGAATTAGAAAAAGCAAAAAACAAAGAGAGAGGGAAGAAAATGAATGGAAAAAGAAAGCTGAGATGGGTAAAGAGAGAGCGAATGAGTGAGAACGTAGAAGGGTGATAAAAAGAGTGCCAGATGGAGGAAGAGAGAGTGAATTAAAGAGAATTAAATGATTAACTGATGGCAACTGTGGAACAAAGTGCCACATTTCACTCCTTTTCACATTTTCCCCTCTTCTCTGTCTCCCTCTACAGGTCACACCTTTACAGAGATCCTCTCCTTCCAGCCTCCATTCATAGAGCTCAGAGACTCCAAAGAGACTTCTCTCTGAGTGGGCAAGGCTTTTTGTCATATTTCGTCATGTTTCATATGTCATTAAAACAGAAGAATCACTCTGGAACAGTTCAGTTTACTGCTTGTTTTTGTTCTTTGTGTAGGTTGTATATCTTTATTAAATACTTTAGAAAGACATGAAACAGTTTCTGAATAAAATGTACAGAATCAGGATGTTGGCTGATATTTAATGTGAATAAAGATGTTGAAATATTGCTGCTCTCTTTAAATTTGTTGCTACATTGAACACTGTACACAGTATTGGGAAGAATAATTACTGAATCTCAGAGTTACTCAGAGGAATATATTAAAGCAAAAAGCCACGTGAGGCCGTGGGTTACTGTGATTTTATCACAGGGTGTTCTGAATTCTGTTCCCTGTGATAAAATTGCAGTAACACGTGGTCTCAAGTGGCTTATTGCTTTTATAAAATGGCGGCCAACATGAAATATGATCAAATACACAATTGTTCAGAAAATAATTTGAGTTATTATTAATAATAATCGACCACATCCAAATATAGCATCCAAATATAACTGCCCAAACTAATCAGTATATACACATATATATATATATAAATATATATATAGAGAGAGAGAGAGAGAGAGAGAGAAATGTTTATAACAGTATTATTGACAGCAGAATGTGCATTGTTGGTTGTCTTATAAAAGAGAAATTTAATCGCTTACATTTAAAAATATTAAATATGAAAACAATGATAACAATATAATAGAGTTGGATCATTGATTATGCATATTATTTCCTTTCAAAGAGCCAAAAGTACATTCCTTATCATATAAACTCACTAAATTAAATGTTGGTGGGTTAAAAGTTTACACTACTTTTGGCTTTGTGAACCTAAACATTGTTTTCTTACACTGATGATGGGACAGTAGGCTGTTGATGGTGCTCACTGATATCCACATACAGAGAGTCCACATACAGTCACAGTGAGTCTTTTATACCTCTGTATTAGAGGTATGAGAGGATTAGAGGTATCAGAGGAAATGATTCCTCGAGATCCTTTATAGACGAGTCATGAATCAACGCTGTGCTTTCGACCAATAGCAGCGCAAGTACCGCCTACTTTTAGAGGAGCAGCTCAGGAGAGTTACGGCGAGTGAAACTCCGGCCAGTGAGAGGCTTCATAAAAGTGATTTACAACACAAATCTGGCTTTGATTTAGTCGAAAATGATTGACAGGTACCCCGCCAGCTGACCCCGCCCACTGGCGCTCCCGTCACAATTGACGTGTGACGTCATAATTGAAATAGAAGTTGGTATAAAGCAGACGAAAAGCAGAAATCAGGAACTTTCACACCGAGATACAAACGGTGAGCATAAACAGCTCTTTTAACCAAATTTCAAGCTCAAAATTAGTTTGTTGTTATGAATTTTAATTAGTGCATATTTACGTGTGTATTTACATTTTTGTAACTTATTTCTTTGTAAATTTGACCAAAGGTGGCACATTTTACACTGTATGTTTTATTTTTTTCTCAATGTGCTAAAACCTTATTTATAGAATACGTGTATATATTCCACAAATGTACTATATTTATAAAGATTTAAAGTTTTAAAATCAGCACATTTACAGAAGAAAATTATGCTAATTGGTTAAAACCTATAAAATACTAGAGTCCCAACATAGGAAATCTATATATGTAACCTACCTGTACATAAACCTGTATTCAAAGGTTTGTGCACCCCTGGTCAGGTTACACGTTTTGTTGATTTTTGAGTGAAAATAACTTTATGTACAGAGAACACACTTCTGAATATTGTAATGTGCAATTTATTGGGAAAAAATGAAGCATAAAATGTGGCCTGTGCAAAAACCCTATGAAACATTTTATATTTGATATTTTTTCAACATGTTAAACTCAGAAAAAAAGAAATTTCAGTCTAAAATATATACAAAAATGCCACATTGATTGTTGTCTGTAGAGGATGTGTTAACTTATTTTAACTTAGAATATCAACTAAATATTCAATTTGACGAGGTGTGTTTAAACTTTTGTGTACAACTATATAATACATATATAAGTAATATAGATAATAATTTTTCTCATGATTCTATTTATTCATTCTATTTATTTTGCAGAGTGTCATCATGAAGAGAGGTGGAAACTCTACAAAGAAGAGCTCGTTCCTGAACTGAGGAACATTCCAGAACGTCCCTCTAACCCTCTTGTTGGCAGGCGACGAGTCAGTAAGCTCAGTGACCGAGAGTCAAAGGCAATGCCTGAGCGGATACCTGAATGCAGAGTCCGCTTTCCAGCAATTCCTGGAGCCTCCCGGAGGATCACAGAACCTCAGAACCTCCCTAAACACGTCTCTGGGCTGCTTGGAACCACTGAGACGAGAGAAGAGAGGGGTGATGGATTCCAAAAGACACACAAGCAGCAACAATCTTCTATCAGAAAGCCAGAGCCCCCCACCAGCAAACCAAAAACATCAAAGAAAGGCTGGACCAATCGCAGACTGCATCTGCTAATCTCTGCTGAAGCTGAGAAGACTGCATGTCCTCTTGAGTCTGTTCCAGTGAATCCAACATCTGGAAACACACCAGAAGCACTGGAGAACAGCTCTAGAGAGAAGAGGACTGATGGGGTGAAGAACTACTCTTGGTTGTGTGAGAAAGCAGGTGTGGAGGGTGAGGTTTTCTATCAGGATTTGGAGAGCCTGACACCAGTCCCTCAGACTGCTCCACTGTCACCTCAGACCATCACTAAAACTGGCCTTAGGCCTGATCTAGTGCACCGACAGCCACTGCTTACCAGGAGGGCAGCAATGCAGGCTGAACCCAAAACTGTTCCTGCTGCTAAACTGCTTCCTAATCTGCTGCCACAGCTCAGTCAGGAGAAAGTGCCTCTGGTCTGTCTTTCTAATGGAAACATCAAGAAACACAGCAAGAGTGTCAGAACTGCTCGCCAGGGTTAAGAGGCTGCCTGCAGTCCCCATCATCCCCAAGGGGCCGGAACCAGACGAGCTGACGTCATATTTGAGAGGGCAGCAAAGGAATGATGGAGGAAGATGTGGCTTAGGTGGCAGGAAACTCATCACCCTGGACCTGCCGCGCCCCCCTCCTTTTAAACCCCTGACCCAAAACCCCACTCAGACTCACAGGGTCATGATCCAGTGAGCTTGGGGTCGCCCAGCCTGACCACCAGAGGAAGACTGCTGTACTGACCGCTGTGCACCTGACATCAATCCCTCAGAGTGCTCGACGGTCATCTCAGACAAAGACTGACAATGTCCTTAGGCCTGATCCAGTGCAGTGTCAGCCACTGCTTACCAGGAGGTCCCTTCTCAGCTCTGTATGGGTAAGCAGTTCATCTAATGGCTCAAAAATAAAAACTTAAAGTGAAATGTTAAATAATTATTAAGCTGCTTTTCTATTAGTTTAGCTTTCAGTTAAACAGAGTGAGACAGTTTGAGCACTGTAGACGTTTTCCTGTGTTTGTATCAGACAGGCAGGCTGGGCTCAGAGACTCACCTGTGTATCTGGAGAGGTGGTTGAATAAGAAGGTGAGAAGCTCTGCTCATTTAGAAATGTCTGTATAAACTGTACATTGGTGAGATCTATATTTCATCTACTAGTTTATTTTGTCCATAACAGAACGCTCTGCAGCTCCAGATCGTCTCAACACGCAGGTGGAGCTGAACATAAAGGCAGGAAGATGAGGATGAAGCTGGATAAATGAATTAAAATAACTAATAAACTGTGTAAATATGGCTGACATGCATCGTTACTTTTTATATTTTGCTTCAGTTAAGTGATGTCACATGTCTCCAAACTGCACAGCTTCCAAATGCTGCAACTGGAAAACACAGTTAGATTTCAAGTCTCATAACTCTGAATCCAGTAGTGCCAAATTATTGTCTGTCTGAAAACGTCTGGGATGTTAAATATGAATATAAAATTTTTGCATTAAGCTAAAGTTATGAATAATTTCTGAGATTAAGCAGTTTACAGCTTAGAGGCCCGTTGTCCTGATGACACTAGTAACTACAGAGACACTTTATTTTCTGTCAAATAAAATGAGTGTTTTTGTAACTGTCTATGAATCGGGCTTTAAGCTAAAAAGGCAACGTTTTGTACCATTTTGACATATTTGCTCATGTAGGCCCTGTTTGACCCTAAGCATGTTCCTGAGTGTCCATAAAAGCCATGTAATGATCCAGGTCTGCCCACACACATACACACCCTTCTCATTATCATAAAGCTATTCAGACATTTAGCTTATTTATCTTGTGGCTCTCAGAATTTTTAAGATAAGAGTGACTCACTGATCATAATAATATTAATATATACATAGTCCTACCCCTGTAGATAAAAGATAAAATGATGAACAATATCCTCTCAATGTAAATGCACCATCTGTTTAAATGTCTCAATTATTGTTACTATTAGCTAATGCGTTATCTAGCAAAGTTAGCTAGTAGGACCCAAACTAAAGGTGATTTTACCATGATGAAGTTCACCCATGCTCTGCTACCAACCCATCCCTCGTAGATTAACTGTACCATCAGGACAAATAAAACTAATGTGTTCATCCATTCCAGTGACTGCAACGCTCATCCCCCTGGACAAATGAGACATGGGAGTTCGATGCTCATTCTGGCAAATGCTGCTGCTATACAAAAAAGTATTGATTAACATCTTGTAAAATTGTTGTTTTAGCAATGAAAAGGGCTGCCCATGTCTTGGCCTTGACTCAGACTAGTCTCTAGTAGTATTGACTCATTGCTAGAAAGTAAAGTTATGACAATGCCTGGTAATGCATTTGTCAAACAATAAAGTATAGGATTTTGTAAATGCATAGTTATGTTTATGAACTGGAAATTAAAAGGTAAATGTTTTCTTTTCTAAATGTATTGCCACTAAGAAAATATCACTACCAATACCAAGAATGCCATCGGGTATTACTTCAGATTAACACCATAATCTCTCGCATACCAGTTTAACAGCACTTTTAATTTAAGTTTAAGAGACTTGGCACAAAGCCATTTGAATTCAGTGTTCTGACCATGTTGACCAGTTTTAAAATTTTGGAAGTCAGTTCAGTAGCATGGGCCTTTACTTTATTGGTGCACAATAACTACTATGATGTAACACATTTAATACATATTTTATACATAGCTATAACTATTTTTTAACTTATTTGAGGCTAGACAGAGTTGGTTTGGTGCAACATTGGTGAGCATGAGTTTAGTGTATATGTAATATCAGTAATGTGCCTAACTTTACAAAAGGCAGATTTACTGGAAATCCGATTTGCTTAATTGAACAAACTCTTCCAATAAAAGAAGTGTCGCCACACATGTTCAACTCTCACACACCACACCTTAATGTGCACACAAATCCTATTAATATGAGCTCACTCACACGCCACACCTAAATGTGCAAATGTAATCTATCTGAGGTGTGTCTAGAAGAGAATGTGTACTTTTTACCAGAGAGTGTCAAAGATTTAGTTGGTAAATGTCTTTAGGTTTCAGGAGTGACTCTCACAGTGCAGTACATAAATGTACGTGTTAAAGCTCCATGTATGTAAGAGGCGAAGTGCTAATAATATATGCAAAGACTACAAGTCCATGATAAACAATGTCAATTGATATTTTATAAGCAGGAGAGAGAAGGGTATTTAAGATGGTTTGTGCAATATTTCAAGTTTTTTGGGGGAGGAGCACAAGAAGTTATTACATGATGAATAAGACACTGTGATTATCTATTTACTGCCTTGGGATTTGATCACTTTTGAAATACAAGGCATTCTGGATATGAACTCCATTTCCAATGTTAAATAGCTTTAGAATCATCCACAGCTCTGACCATTTTAGATGCATGTAAAATTTCATTTCAGCTTTCTACAAACTAGTTGAAACCTTTAAACATATGGATTATTAGCATCAGAATCATTTTATGCAGGTACCTGCAACAACACTGTTTTAATATTATTAAAAACAGTGACTCCAAATCTTTAAATGGTGATTTAATAAAGTCAAATTTTTGAACAGTAGTATATTTAGCATGTTTTAACACTTCTAACACTTCACATAACATAACATCTTTTTCTGGCATGAAGCCTGAATGCTGAGGGCGTCAGGCTACCACTTAGTTGTGATGGTTGTGATGTCACATCTACATGGGTGTTTTGTTGCTTCATCTACAGCCAGTTCATAATGTCTGTGGGCCTGTGGGCCTTCACCAATATCTTCCTTATTTTTTTCTTGAATTTGTTCTTGAGAAAATTTTTTTTATGTCACATTCATAACGTGTTCTTAAAGCACAGAACTGTTCACACCGTGGTGCTCTTGAGTGTGTGTAAATTCTGTCCTTATCTAAGAACAAATCTCTAAAAAGAAAACATTGGTGAATGTCAGAATCTTTGTGAAAACTGTATAATTGGGTTTTAAGAATTAATTTCTTCTTAAGATTGGTTGGTGACTGAAGTCCAGGGCTATTAGGTTAAATTTCCTTGCTAAGCCAACATTGTTGATAATGCGTTCCATAATAAAAGTTGCCGCCCTTACAATTTGAAAATTGCACTCTTTCAAACTGCGATTTCAACATAAGGTTTATCTTTCAGCTCTATTCATTATGTTGTTTTTGTATTTGTATTCATATAAGGACAAAAAATGAACTGAAGAATACACAAATGACTGACACAATTTCGGGTGAAACACAGTGGACATGTCAAACATGTCAACTTTACTGGAGAAGGCAAAATGTTCTGAATGCAAGTGAATGTAAAAAGGTTTTATTCCAAGTAATTTTGGAGCATTGCTGTTGGTCCATTCACCACAAAATATTAACAAAATGTGACTGTTTTTGTAAAGTGACAAAATACTACAGTCTATGTAAGACTGTGGGAGACAGAAAGTCTGAGAGGTAGGAGCAGGGAGGGAAAAAGAGTAGAAGAGAGGAAGAGAATGGCTTGTTGGTTGGTTTCTCTGATAAGGAGTGTTTGCTTTATTACCCATGCACTGTGGTAAACAGCCACTGCTATCTCAGAATTCCCTGCATTTCACATTCGCTACTGTTTTCCAACCATGGACTACATGCACAATTCACTTTGCCTGCTTCTACACCTCCTCCACTTTACAGGTACGTTTACCAACTTATAAACCATTCCTGTTTCGAAAATGTGCTGTGGCTGAACTCATTTGCTTTGTAAAATACATGTTAGGTATGTATAGTCATTTAAGCAACAGGAAACTACTCCAATTAAACAGTTAAGAAGTATTATGCATACCATAATATTATAATTTAAGCTCTTTTGTGTGTTGGTTTCATTATAAGATCATGGCACAAATGTGGCTGGAAAAGACGTTTCAACATTCACCATGGCCAACGAACAACAGCCCTGTAAGTAATAGCAAATATACACAGCGTGATCAGAAAAGGTGAAATGCTTTAATAAATGAGCGTTCATGTTGTGTTAATACACCAAATGGCTTGTTAGACCTATATTTGATTAGGAAATTAAATCATTAGATGGGATTTGAGTGAAAGGTTGCAATGGGTGCGCATTTATCACCAAGCAACGTGTTTCCCGATAAGAGAACAAAATCTACACAGTAATATGTTATACAAGTACTTTAATTTTTTGTGTTAACCAGTATTTTCAGTTTAAATATTAACTGGGTGTGACATTCTGATTTAGTATATATTACAAATACATATTTCACAAATATTTCACAATATAATATCATAATCAAATGAGCTGTTCATCATTATTAGTCACTACAAATTAACACTTAAATAATCTGCCCCGAGTGTCTGGAGGGTGCCTAGATTTTACCAGCCACTTTTTGCCAATAAATACACAAATTTTCGATTATACTCCCTTCATGATTACACTACTAAATATACTACTACAAATGCATAAGAATTAGAGACGTAACAAAGTTTAGGAGTGAGAACACATTAATTAATGTTATACAGAGCATCTCCTAATGCTACACTATGTAAAAGTGCAGGATTAATGTTTGTTAAAATTGAAAGAAGTAGCATTACTAAGCAAAGGAGCAAAAAGAACAGGCTAACATATGCTGTGTATGTGCATATTACCCATAAAGCCTGAAATAAATTAAAAGTCATAGGTGATGGGTTGGATTTTGCGGGAGTTCTTAGGTCAACATTGTACATCGGGATCAAAAAGAAGGTCCATCTCGATGTTTAGGTCTCAAATACAAAATCAACATTAAACTGATGAAGCTATGATGACTATAGAAGATAACTCACTTGCATCCTCAAATGACACATCATTCACCAAGTTTGACTGAGTTTGAATATTCTTTCAACATGCTCACTTTCATCAAATTCATCCACTTGGGGAAGGGGCCTTATAAGTGGCATTATAAACTGCTATTCTGCACGCAATTGCACATTTCCATCAGCATCCAAATCCCAACACTTACATAGTGCAGCTTTAATGTGCAGCACATATTTTGCAGAAATAACATTTTTTCCCAGATGTTTTTAGATAGGATTGTGCATGTAAGTAGGAAATACACATATAAATGAAGAAAATATACAGTATATACTATATACTATATAGTCTGTGAGCTACAAACACACCCAGACTGTATAGTGTATGATACATATATTGTAAATGTTCTTAATATATATTCATTTTTCTAGTTTTTGTGGTTGGTTTTTATATGTGTTTGTTTACTAATTTGTGCAGGAGATGGAGCAGAATAAGAATTTCAACGTACAGTCTGTTTCTCTTCTCTGCATATTAATACACTCTTAAATCTTGAAAGTAATATATTATGCAGATAAGATCCTGAAAACCAAGTTAACATTTTCAGAGTGAAGAGATTTGTTAATACAGTAATGACTGATGAGTGTTCTTCTGTTTCAGATGGACCAGCGAGTCATACCATTCATGGTCCAGATGCTGTCACGGTGGGAGTGCCCTGTAGCTTTGTGTGCTTGGCTCAGTGCTCACCTGAATGCAGTTACACAGTCAGCATTGATGACCACAGCATAGAGCACAAAGAGCTGGCCTTTACTTTAAAGCAGTGGGAGAGTTCAAAAACAGTGACCTGCACCGCTAAAAACGCTGCCACTGGAAGTTCCTCCACAGTCAGGAAAACTCTGTACATTTTGGGTATGATGTCATTAGAGTCATCAGACAGTGACTGTTCCACTGGGCTTGTCTCGTGGATATACATTAAGCTTAGTTTTGGACTAAACTGCAAGGCTCATTGCAAATCATTATTGGAAATTTCTTTTATTCTAGGCTTAGGCTTAACCTGAGTCTGGGAAAGTGGCCTATTGTTATTCAGTAAATGGGTTCAGAGTTTTGTAACGCTAACTGTTGCTATATTGTGCACTGTTTTCTTTCCAGAGGGGCCAGTAAACGTTTCCATCAGCGGCCCACACACTCTCACTCCAGGTGAGACTCAGCGGTTCCTGTGCATTGCCCACTGCAGGCCTTTCTGTACGTACACCTGGGTTGTTGATGGAGATTCGATTGCCGGCTCTGGAGATGAGGTGGTCATTAGGCCACCCTCAGAGGCCACCTCAGGAACCCTCATATGCAAGGCTACAAACAGCGTGTCTGGATTGTTTGCTACTGCAATTCTAAAACTAAGAGTCCCATGTAAGTCAAACCATCAAGACACGAGTTCTCAAAACCAAAGGTTCCCACACTTCACAGGAATATTTGCAAGACATGGTTCACTATAGATGTCACACAAATCTCTTTTCACTTTTGTTGCTGTTCACCAGTAAAGCACAACTGTACAGTTACATTGAAACAAACTCTTAGAGTTCTATAAGCTTTTACAGTAGCTGACATGGGAATCAAATGTTATCCTTCTGTAGTTCACACTGGACAGGTATCTTTTGTTTATTATATTGACGACAGCCATTTAACGCTGCACCCTGCACGATTTATTTTATGCCCATTTCACCTACAGCTCAAAGCACAGATATGGCAGAAAAGGAAATTCTTACTACCTACCAGACTACTGCTGACCAACCATGTGAGTACAAGAAAATGTATACAACGAGGACAATGATGTGAACTTTATGTTAGTCATTGTAAACAGTAAGGTTAAGGCTTTTATGCATATTAGGCTTTTACATGGTTTTAAAATTGGGGCATTTCACAATTGCTTTCTATCACGTTTACATTTGTCATAAAACAATGTGTATTCATTGAAATATGAGCTATATTATCCAATCAAAGTAAATCAAGGATAAATATATATCATGGCCAATTCTAGCATTTTAACATTTTCTGTTAATTCACATTAGCTTGTGTAACAGGATAGTTGATAAAACATTATATACATTTCACATCTACATTACTGTGCTTTTTGAATATAGCGTCCAAAAGTCTGGGACCACTGGTGAAAAGGCTTCTATTTTGCATTTCTTTTTTATTTTAATACAAACCTTTTCATTACAAATGATATTACCAGCATAACAACTTGAACAAAAAAATAGAATCTTTGAAAGTTAATATGAATTTCAGAATTTCTTAGTATTTGATCAGTAGATCAAATTCACCTGAGAGTCATCTGAACATGTGCTTCAATGGAAGGAATTATACTAAAAAATAATAATTTTTACACAGGTCTTAATTAAACTATTTCATCTTCATGTTACTTACTTGTTTTGAATTTTTCAAGATTCTAAAACTTTCTGTTGTTTATTTCCAGGTGCACATGGCAAAAATACAAGATGTACAGTTTGATCTCAGACTTTTGGGTCCCAATGTACTTATTAATGTGTTTAGGTGCTTTTATGAATAGAATACCTCAGGCTTATGTTATTTTTCTCTGTAGAATTTACATTGTTTTATCAATAGCTTGTGAATTAAAATGTTCATTAACAGATTTGGAGTACTTTCCATATGTGCAGTACATCTGTAGCTGTAAGTGCAGCAAGGATTCTTCAGTAAAACCAACAGCAAGAGTAGAGTCATCGTTTAAAGGAAAGTACGGAGCCCCGCTGGTGACATCCTGTATAAATAAAAATAATGCGTCGCCACACCTTATTAATGCGTGGGAACAAAATCCTAATGCGTGGCCATGACTTAGTAAGGTGTGGAAATGAGATGATTAAGTCGTGGCCACAACTTAGTAAAGCGTGGGAACGAGATCACGGCTTACTAAGTCGTGGCCACGACTTAATCATCTCATTCCCACGCCTTACTAAGTCATGGCCACGCATTATTTTTATTTATACAGGATGTCACCAGCGGGGCTCCGTAGGAAAGCGCATGAGGGAAACTGTTGAACCAATTCCTGTGTTTGAACACCCCTGGTCAAATTACATACTTTGTTGATTTTCTAAGTGAATATAAGTCAACACATCCTCTGAGGAACACACCTGAGTATGGCATTCATTTCATTGCACAGCTTCTATTTATTTGCTGAGTTTAACATATTGGACAAAAAAACTAAATATAAAATATGCCAAAACTTTTGCACAGGCCACATTTTATGTTTAATTTTTTTCCTCAAAAATTCAGCAATTAAATGTGCATTAAATTGTGCATAAGCGTGTTCTCCATATAGGATGCGTTATTTTCACTTAGAAAGTGAATGAAACGTATTTTGATCGGGGCGCCTAAACTTTTACATATGACTGTATCTGCTGCAGTGTATGACAAACACCCAAGCAACAATGTGGCACATTCTCAGAAGAGATTAGAACTCCAAATATAAATGGGGACAGATCTTTCTTGGGAACTCAGATGTTTCCTGGAAAGCATTTCTCAGATGTGCTTTATGACAAGGATACACACCTAATTAAAATATACAGTAGTGCTATTGTCACTTTTATAGAAATAAATTATGACTTCTGTCTGTTTCAGACGGACCAGTGAGTCTCACCATTTATGGTCCAGATGCTGTCACAGTGGGCGTGCCCTGTAGCTTTGTGTGCTTGGCTCAGTGCTCACCTGAATGCAATTATACAATCGGTGCTGATGGTCAGAGTGGAGAGGGCAATGAGCTAGCCTTCACTTTAAAGCAGTGGGAGAGCTCTAAAACAGTGACCTGCACTGCTAAAAACTCTGTCACTGGACGTTCCTCCAGTATCAGCAAGACACTTCAAATTCTGGGTATGACGTCATTGTGGTCGTCATAGCAGACGGATCCACTCACTTCTCCATGCAAGATGGAAAACAAATATGCATCAATTCTAGGTCCACAAGTAACTGCTGTCTCTTTGCTCTTTCCAGAGGGGCCAGCAAACGTCTCCATCAGCGGCCCACACAACCTCACTTCAAATGAAACTGAGCGGTTTCTGTGCACTGCCACCTGCAGGCCCTCCTGTAACTACACCTGGATTATTGATGGAGAGCCAGTTGATGGCTCTGGAGATGAGGTGGTCATCAGACCATCTACAGAGGCCACCTCAGCAATCTTAATCTGCAAGGCTACAAACAGCATGTCTGGATTGTTTGCTACAGCAGTACGAATGCTAGGTGCTTCAAGTGGACTCAGTAAGTGCTATCTTTTTTTTCCAGCAGTGAGAGATGCATTTTGGATAACAAATCGTATTATTTTTGGATTCATAGGTTTTAATAGCCAGATGTCATATTCAAATGTTATTTGTGGCAGGGCTTCATTGCCACGTGTTTGTATTTATCACCGTAACACTTCATAAGGGAACAATTCTAATGTTTACAGCATAGTAACATGCAACACTCATGATATTGACTCAGTATTAGCTAAGCTCTGGGTTCTGAATACAAACTAAATGTGAAGTGTAATATTTTTAGACTATACATCGACAAGCCACTTAATTAAAACCGCCTCCTCCTTCTATACTCATCAAGCATTTTATCAGCTCCCCTTACCATATAGGTGCACTTTGTAGTTCTACAATTACAATTAATCTGTTTCTCTGCATACTTTGTTAGCCCCCTTTTACTCAATGGTCAGGACCTCCAGAGGACCACCACAGAGCAGGGATTCAAAACAAATAATATAAAAACATGCATTGTTCACAAAAATACGTTTTAATGTATAAATTTCCCTTAAATTTCCGCTTATATCTTTTCACTGTGCTATTTGGATACATTAGTTAAGGAAAAATATGATGAAATACTTCTTGATGAAGCACAGTCATACACTAAAGTGTTACAGGCAAGTATTATATGTTATTCATGTGCCTATACTATTCTTATCACTTATAGAATCTGTATCATTATTTATCTATATATTATTTTTTGTGGGTTTTGCTGTGTTCCATCTAAAACTCTTTAGGTGAGGTTACAAGACCTGGAAATCCACTAATTTACTCTACACTATGCACTAGCCTTGAGTCTGGCCTTGAGAGCATAAATGAACAGTATTGGTCTAGCCTTAGCCTCAACATCATTTGGACTCAGTCTTGTCTTGGTCAGGTGGACTCTGAAATTATTCTCGAGACCAGCCAAGTGCAGTGCCCCGACTGAAGTGACTGGAAACTGAACTTTTTATCTATTATCACTTGATATCAACAAAACCTTCAAAGAGAATAAAACACTCCTTTCTCTACATGTTTAAATAAAATCTGTTCGCTGGTGGTTGAGAATTTAAACGATCTGTTCCACGATGCTTAACTGGCTTAAATTTGCTTGTTGATGTTCATTGCTTCTGAAATTCAAACATCTTTTATAGGCAGATCAGAAAGTTATTATTGCTATATTTTCATTTAATAATAAAAATGGATGTATACTATTTGGTTTATAATCAGATAACTTCAGGTTGTGGCTGAACGAATTGGGGAAATATCTAATTACAATTTTTCTGACTAATATTGAGACTGCGATTTAAATTGCAATTATTTTCTACAAGTTTAAGTTCAGACCTGTTTTTTAACCAAGAAGACCAGAATATCCACTTTTTCTGGCTTGAGGCTTGACCCCTTAATGTAGTGTGCCAGAAGCCAGTAAGTTGTGGCTGTGATGTCAAAAGTTTGGTTGCCTCTGATTGGTCGAACTCTACAGGTGGTATACAATTCAACTACAAGTGTTATTAGGTTAAGTGTCCCCTCTTAAAACCTAAAACAATATTATTCACAATGTAGGCTATAATTTTAAGAAATTGCAGCTCTTGCGATTTGAAAATTTCACTTTTAAATGGTGATATTAATCTTTCAGCCCTACTTTAGGTAAGTTTTAGAGAAGAGGAGACAGAGAATAACGTCACCATCATCTGCTTCCAAAAGTTACAATGCAACATTGGACTAATACTATAATATAAATATTTTTAGGCTATAAATTATTAATGCTGCATTTTACCAAATATATTATCTATCTCATTTAAAAAATATATATCATGTATAATGAATGATAATGAAGGTACAATTAACAACAAACAAATCTCAGTTATTTTTATGTTGTGAAAAAGTCTGAATCTGGTCTCGGTCTTGACTCAGACTCGACTACTACAAAGTCTTGGTCTTGAGTCGGACTCAATGTGTCCAGGTCTTGGCCTTCACTACAACACTACTATGCACATAGTATGGTCTTACCACTGGCTGTAAGTGCAGGAAGGGTCCTACAGAGCAAAACAAAGCTGCACTATGGAATCATCATCCAAAGGAAAGAAACAGGGGAGGCTGTTTGACAAATTCCTGACGAATAACTGACGCAGTATAGTACAAACACCCCAGTAACAGTGTGGTGTACATGTGGAACAATTATGCTATTACAACATTAAATATAGATCAGGACAGATCTTCCAAGAATCTCCTAAGAAATCATTTCTCAGGAGTTGTGTTATGGGTTGGGGGGATTTTTAATATATACAGTAATGTAATTGTAACTTCTGATCATCTGTTTCAGATGGACCAGTGAGTCTCACCATTTATGGTCCAGATGCTGTCACAGTGGGCGTGCCCTGTAGCTTTGTGTGCTCGGCTCAGTGCTCACCTGAATGCAATTATACAATCGGTATTGATGGTCAGAGTGGAGAGGGCAATGAGCTAGCCTTCACTTTAAAGCAGTGGGAGAGCTCCAAAAGAGTGACCTGCACCGCTAAAAACCCTGCTTCTGGACGTTCCTCCAGTATCACCAAGACATTTCAGATTTTGGGTATGAAGTCATTGTGGTCGTCATAGCAGACGGATCCACTCACTTCTCCATGCAAGATGTAAAATAAACATCCATCAGTCCACAAGTAACTGCTGTCTCTTTGCTCTTTCCAGAGGGGCCAGCAAACGTCTCCATCAGCGGCCCACACAACCTCACTTCAGATGAAACTGAGCGGTTCCTGTGCACTGCCACCTGCAGGCCCTCCTGTAACTACAGCTGGATTTTGGATGGAGTGCCAGATGCTGGCTCTGGAGATGAGCTGGTCATCAGAATATCTACAGAGGCCACCTCAGCAACCCTGATCTGCAAGGCCACAAACAGCGTGTCTGGATTGTTTGCTACAGCAGTGCGAAAACTAGCTGTTTCAAGTACAAGTAAGCGTCAACGTTTTTGCAGTAGAAAGAATTGCATTGTGGATAACAAGCTGTGTTATTTTTGGATTCTTAGGTAAAAATCAGAGTAGCTACTTTCTGCAGGCCCCTAGAGGACACTCTGCCTATTTTTGATTAATATTATCAAAATAGTATTTACTTTCTTATCAGATTAACTAGGACCCTGTTGGCTCTCTGTGTGCAGAAGTTTGTGACTCTGTGTTGAGCTGCTAGCGAGCAATGAGGAGTGAAAGGGGAGGAATGAGATCCTCCTGCTGTGAAAACAGCTCACACCTCTATACAGAGACAGCTGTGCTGAGATAAAACGGATGGCACAGCTGCAGCTTTCTTGATGAAGAAAAACTGTGTGCCGCCATAATAAAAAATGTTTAATAAATTTTGGCTTGCTTGCTCACCTGCGAGGATGGAAATCTAGTTCACTTCCAGTCTTGTAGATCATCCACCACCCATTGAACTATACTCCATTAACATTAATTAAAAAAGCATAGTTTTGAGGGACCTCCAAAACCGGCAGAAATTGCATTTCATGGCTGCTGTGAAGGTAACTTAATGGATCTGTTCAAACATGATGGTACGTGATGATATTTGTTGCATCCTGAATACTACACTGTGTACTACTATGAGGAGTCGCATGTAGTATACAGTATATACACTGGTACAATGTGCAGTTTACATCACACAGTATGCTGTGTAGAATACAGGCAGTGTCACTAAATTGCCTTGCAAAGAGCACAGTCTCAAAGGGAAATTCCACCAACTATTAAACATTCTGTGTAATTAAATCGAGATGTAAACAATGTCATTCAGAGTGGTTTGGTGTGAAATGCTTCATTCTAGAGAAACTTGCAGAGTCAGAATTGTTCACAGTGGCGGTGATAGGAACCAGACATTTTAAGTGTTTAATGCCTCTAAAAGCTCCCTCACAGAAAGTTATTACATAAATTATAGTTTTGAGACAAAGTTTAGGTGTAATACATATTTTAATACATTAATGTACATTAAAGTTTCCTTCTAATTAGGTTAATTTTGTTCTTGCAGGCGAACAGTAAAAGTTCTAAGTAAACGCTTTGAAATAATTCTGATGACCAATAAATGAACATTTCACCATATTTATCTCCTCTCGATGTAAGCTGGGTGGTCCTAATCTTGGGCGACGCTTCTGTCAGCACTGCCCTCATCAGTCATAAGGCTGACATCTCTTGCCCTGCCCACACAAAACAGTTTCAGAGTCAGAGAGTGAGCTAAAGCTAACCCAGCGCAACCAAAATCTAGCGAGTTAGAACACCTGTCTGTAACTCCATGTCGTTCATTCATTTATCCACACAGGAACATTGTTCGCTTGTCTGTTTCTTTCTTCACATGTTGCTTTGTTTGTCCGTCTGTTCGTCCATGACTTTTTTTGTCCAGTGACCGTCACATAAACGCTGGATTATGATGCCAATCAAGCTGCTCATCATTAGGCCACACCTACACAGTCCTCAGATAGGGCTGATGAGCGTTTTTCTATCTGTGTTTTATCAAATTCCTATCTTATATTTTTCATTCAAGCGTTGCATGATGTTTAATATAACACAAGTTTAGTATCATACAAACATTTTTAATATTTTACTTAATTACTAGTCAGATTTTGGATGGAATGCACCATTTCAAACTATTTTGTTTGTATTCAGGCACAGTGTGTTAAGATTTATTATTGACTTTTAAAAAGTAGTTCGTATTTTTTTTTTTCTCCTTACAGGAAGCCATAGCAGGTCCTTAGCGGAAGGCGCAGAGCTGCTGCCAAAACTACTGTTTGCATTCATGTCAGTTTTACTAGTAGTAATTCCACCATGAACCAGTAGAGAGTATCAATACTGAACTATGGTGAGTTACATTTCTCTTTGAATGTGCCTCATTACTGTCATTACGGACATAACTAGACTAAAAAAAACAACTCTGATGAACAAACTAGGATAAATGACTCGAAAGCAAAAGACCATCTGAGAAATAAAGTGTTCACAATACATGATACTTTCTGCAAAACTCATCTAGAATTGTTCAACAAGATTTGAAGCATTTCAGTACATAATACATATTTTGTTTATATACCAATACTGTACCAGTAGTACATACATACCATTGAAATGTCTGCATACAATAGTTTCTGAGCATTGTCCTTGCTGTGATGGGCACTTCTCCTATTTTCACATTATAAACTTTATATGGTTTGCCTTTTATATGTGATGTTTATTTTAACTCTTTTATTTAATCTTACAGATCAATTATTTGGATGCAAAGGATGGAATATTTCATTATATTGCCTGTAAGAAGAATGACTTGAAAATACAAATAAAATGTACATTTTCCTTTATTTTATTAAACTATCATTTGATACATTACTGCATTCCATCTACTTAACATTGTACAATACTGTGTAACTTTGCCACATTGAGAATTGTGTATTCCTGCTGTCGTAATACGGTAACGTCTTAGTCCTAATCTGATGTGTTCATTTAAAAACAGTTCAACTTTAAACTACATTGATTAAAAAGTTTCATGTTTTTCACTGAACAGTGTTATGATGTCAAGTCAATGCACAGCAGTGTTAGCTTGTAGGTAGCAATATCTGTAATTCAGTTCATAATTGAGATTATTCAGAAATGTCTGCTGAAAAAAAAAAACGTTCCTGTAGAAAAAACATTTCGGCTTTGGAACATTTTAGAGACCCAGAGTTCCTTATTTGGGTCGACGACTACAAAACAGCAAAACCAGGGGTCTGTTCTACTGACATAAGAGGTAGATCACGTCTAAAAGAAGGCAATGAGAACCTTACTTGTGTATAATAGTAACTCCTTGGTTTGTGCTTGGAATGTGTCTCATGATTTTGACACCAATGAATCTCAATCTTTTGAAAGCGTTTCCAAGTCATACAGCAAATTCAAGACAATACTACACATAAACAGACAATACCTGCAGCTGTTAAGGTGGTGCAAAAGTTGCCAGGATGGTGAGACATTAGAACACTCAAAGGGACAGTTTGCCCAGTTGCACGTTGAAATCCATGTCGATGTCACCAGAGGAACATTTGACTGAACAATCATGATTTTAAGGCAAGGGGCAGAACTAGAACTTTTGCAATGGGGTGGGCAACTTTTGCAATGAGCTTTTATTGGGGTGGAACACTGCTAGAGAAAAGAAATAACAGTGTTACTGCATTAAAATGACAAAGTGATGCCTTCGTTTTTCTTTTTACATAATTAAATCTGTCCGTTATTTTTTGACATGAATAAAATCTGACAGTAAAATTGTTGCCAAAAGTAAACTGAAAGACAAATGAAGGACCACGCACACATTTACTTGCCTGTTTGTTCAGCAAATTAGCCTACTACAGCAAGATATGCCAATAATTAAATGCAGATGGGGAGACTTCATCCTCCTATCTTTCATGTTCAGAAAACAACAGCGGTATACCACATTCTTTCAGTTCATGTCTTGGCAGACAACCAGTTAACTCTGCTTGTAGGTCATATTCATAGTTTTAGCGTTTGAATTGCCTGGACTGTTCAACATGTCATGGTAAACAAAAACTTTCTTGTAATTTATGCACTCCAGCAAAAAACGGTCAGCGTTCTTTTCTTTAAAGGTACATTAATTATCTAGGACTGTTAGTGATGTTAGCCTTGATACTGACGCTCAGGAGCAAGTGTCAAAAAACCAACACACTTCATTTTGAAGCACTGTAGCGATGCTTGGTTCATTTTCCAAAATCACACGTTATCAACACAAGTGCTTTGGAAACTGAATCAGTAGCACTGCACTAGTAGCCCTGCACTGCTTCAGAAAGCTTCATTTTGCCATCACAAAGGACTCTCATGCGGCTTTTTCAGTGTCTTGTTGTCCAACTCCTTCACTCAGAGATAAACACTCCCTTTTAGTGTGTTGAGGTGTTACATGTGGTCGTGTCTAAGTAGTAGATAGGTGCATTGCATTGTGGAAGTTGTAGTCTACATAGATAAAGCCTTTAGAGACCTCAGTGGGAATAAGTAACATTTCTCAGAAAGAGGTTTTATGCCATTCTTGCATGATCTGTTGACAGAAAGTCTAACTATTTGGCCTGTCAGACTAGCAATGAATCATCCCAAACACTTTATTCGTTATTCTGGAACAATACAAAATGTTTCTGCTGTCAGCATGCCTTTGATCTTATACAGCAGGGATTTCCAAATTTTTGTGAAGTGATCTAGTTTGATCAACTGCACCAACTCCCAAACTGAACCATATATTTGCTCTCTGAGATTCCTATCTGTTCTATCCCTATATATCCAGATTTTCCTGGTCCAGAAAAGATTACAGTCATGCATAATCTGTTAGAATCAGGCAACATAACAAGGATTCTGTCTATAAATAACTAAAATGTTCATATTTACTTGCAGTTAAGAATATTATTATATTCATGGAACATTTTTTGTATTGTAAAGGATCACATTAAAAAGTACAAAGTTTCAGTGGAAAACCTAAGACACTTCCAAAGGCAAAAGAAAAAATGTGTTAAGAGGTGCTCAAATGATGCATTATTTAACACACAATTACTCTCCTACCCACTACTATCACAGTAAGATGCTAAAAGTCAGTAATCTGACTAGAGAGCACTGCGATTATTCATGACTAACTCAGACGCATACTGTAGCTGAAATTTTTTAATGACAGTTCCTTCATAAAAAAAAATAAAAATAAAATAGTCAGTGTCCAATTTATTGTTTAAAGAATCACTAATTTACTTATTCTGTGTTCTTATTTGTGAGACTTGTGAAATTATGGCAGCAACACACTCTTATGAGATACTGTACACATTTAACCACTCTCCAACCCATTCAAAGACTACATTTCAACATTTTTCATTAATCAAAATAAAGCCAGGAACAACCTGCTTTTGATTTGCTGTTAAACACCTGCTCAAAGTCACCAACCCAGCACTAGTTTGGAGATGTCGGGGCGTCAGGTCCTGAACAGCAGATACTATTGAATTAGCTGGTGTGTCTGGGAACAGAGTCTCTGCTTTTTTGAGAAACTGACCACTAATACAGAGGTGAGTCCAGTACTCCTGAAGACAGAGGTTATACTCCATATTTCTTCTTTAGAACTCGTACTGAGTCATCCTCCAGTCCCGCGTGTGAAATACATTCAAATAGCTCCTGTAATACTGGAAAAAAAAACAAGATTCAGTTTCCTCTTTCTCACTGAAATAATATACAAAATGTTAATCCAGTGATGTAGGTAAAACACTACACTGTGTAGGTAAAAACCTTAACATCATCATAGAACACAGAATCATGCCATGCATGTACCAAGTCACTGATGATCAGACAATTCGTGTGAATAAGAGTGAAGTAATTACCCTGAGGAGCAAAATAAAGAATAACTGTTTAGAGGCCAGCCTAGAGACTACTGTGGAGGCCTAGTGCTTGAGAATAACATTAGATTTAGATTAGATTTGCCTTTTTCAATTCAACGTTTCATTGGCAGAGATGAAATTGTTCAAAAAGGGCCACAAATGTTAAGTCAGAAAAAGCCTGGGATGTCCCACAAAGGGCCGACGCAGCCAGGTTTTCATTTCAACAAAGCATGAGTGATGATTCTACTTGTTTAATCAGATGGTCCCAGTCTGCAAACAACTGATCAGATGTAGGCCTGTGCCCAGTGACAGGTAATCGAGTCCCTGCAGTAACAGCCTCCAGTGAGGGTAAATACTGATGTAGCTCCAGAAAAAAAAAAATTAAAAATTGTTGATTTATTTATTTATTTTGTGCAAATCATAGCAAACCAGCAGTATTCCCACACAAACTTTTAAACGTTGGATGATGTGATACCATACATTAATACCATATTTACTGTACCCAAGATTATTGTTCATAACATAGATTGTTCTAGAAACACAGCTATACTGGTTAAACACTCTCAGTGCTGCAGGCATGCCTGTACAGAAAGCAGCCTCAATGGAAAACCATATTTTAGCACATTCTCACATCACAGCATCTAGTTTTCAGACTCCTCTGGTGAAATAACTTCAGAGAAAAAGGCAAAAGGCTAACCTTTGGTGTGAGGGACTGTCAGAATATTACAGGACATAATGATTAAACAAAGAAAACTGTAAGCTACTATAAAGAAAATAAAATATAAATTAAAAACTTATGTTGTAACTTGTAGAAATGTTTCATTTTTTGTTATAAGTAATCTTATTAAGTAAAATTATCTCACTATATTGGCTTGTTCTTTTAACATAATTAAATCTTATATTTATTTATATTATTTCTTATATATATATATATATATATATATATATATATATATATATATATATATATATATATATATATATATATAGAGAGAGAGAGAGAGAGAGAGAGATAATGTAACAGTACAATTTATTAAAACAACAAAAACATCTAGAAACAAATCAGCTATATGATAAGCTTACAACAATATCAACATGAAAAATATTACATATACTGACTAAAGATCATTTCACTTGCCAAGATACCACTTTTGCAGTGCAAAATTAAGAAATAATAAACATACAGAGAGAGCATACCTTTCTTTTCAGCGGATGACATAAACATGACAGCCATGTCAAACCTTCTCACATTCGACAAGCTTTTCAGGACAGCCAGTATGACTGACGGCTCCTCGTTTCTGCAGACAGGTGATCAAGGAAAATATTAAGAAATATTTAGACATTTGAAAAGCAATGATCACAGAAGACTTTGAATATTAGAAGAATTTACATACACAGCTCAAGCAAACTCACATAGATAACAGAGACATATATATGCAAGACTACAATATTTCTCCATGTGAGTTTGGATCAAACTTCAGACATGCACCACACTTACTTGATGTAAAAGCTTTGAAGTACTTTCAAAATCTTGTTAAGAATGTCAGGCTCCAAAGAGTTTTGGAAAATCTTTTCGTAGGCCTCCGGCTGAATTTGCTGAAATAAAACATGCAAAGACCACTATCATATTTTACCAAATTTGCAGAGAAGATTTGTAGCATTTTTCTAAATCATGTGATCAACAACCAGCAAGAAGACTTCATAATTGTAAAGTGTAGCACCCACCTTTAAATACTTGTAGCTGACCTCAAGGTGATCCCCAATCTTCCTCAGGTCTGCTTCCAGCTGAAAGCTGTTCGTGGGCGGTGGAGGAATTACTTCAGGTTGGATTGAAGAAGAGAATGTAGATAAAGTTTGCTCCATTCTACTGGTTACTTTTTCCTCTTTCTGCAATACTTTCTGTTCTCCCAAGGAATCCCCGTCAGGACCTCTGAAATGCAGCAAATAATAACCAAGTTGAATAACAATGTGTCTAATGC